GCTCGCTAATGAGGGATTGTCCTCCCAAGCATATGTCTGGACCGGCTGACTCATAAGAGCATGACGAGCAGTTTTCAATGAGTGAAATTCCTTAGTCTGCGGGAATTTAGAATGTTTGCGACCCTGTGCTGCACGGAGCTGCTCGCCGCTCAACAAAACGTCTCGAAACACGAAAGGGAGCAATTTGCAAGCTTTCCAGCGGGAGCCAAATAGCCTCCAGCTAACCACACTGAGCGCAATTTTTTCGGAGTATGGACCACATCTGAATCAAACTTGGGCAGTAGCCTAGTCACGAGGCTCTGTCAAAATTGAAGATTCTTTCAAATTAAAATCTATTGAGACACTAACATTGAAGCCACCACTTTGCTCCAGAAAACGTCAAGACAGTTTCGACTTTTCCCATGAATGCCAATGTGACTTGTTGAGCGGAAGTAGATTTTTTTACGCAAAATTAAGATATGTATCTGCCAGATTCTCCGGTCTTGAGAGTTTGAGACTTTGCCTTAGCAATTACATCTGGTGGAATTTCGAATTCGAGCTACAAAAGAAACATATTTGTGGATTATTTTTGCTTGATTTTTACGTTTTCTTTCATGCAAAAGCAAAATATAGCTGTTTTAAACAGAAGTTGCCTTTCTACCTTTGCAGGCACTGCCTCTTCCCGCTTTTTTTCTCCCTTTCTCTTCTTCACTTTTTTCGAGAAAGTGATATCAATGCACGCATGAGCGAAATGGAGATACACATCGGCTAGTTTGTGGTTCCAAAGGGGTCTCGAACGCATAAGTTGGGGAGAAAGGGCATTGTTTACGCGAACGTGATTTGGCATAACAGAAGTTTTCAAAGGTGAAAAATGCTGAAGCTACAGCATTAACCACTCACTGATCATAGTTGTACTTTTCTAAAAATTAATAAATTTCATAGCAAAATCTTGAAAGATGGTTCGGGTTTGAGGTGGTCTACTGGGTTGGATTCAAATCAAGCACCAAAAATTATGCGCAATATGAGCTGAGAATTCATAAAACGTTTCAATTTATTTTTGACGTAGAGTAAGTCCAAATGTTGTATGAAAAAGTACTCAAAATAACTGTTCGCAGAAGCATACGATCAGAATATCTCTAGGCGAACAGGTCGAAACATCAAAATCGATTTTGACCCTTTTAGCTTTGGAAAAAAGCGCATAATTTGCTGCTTCTAAGCTTGGAAAACCAATTTTGGCGAAACTAGGGACACCTGCTTCGAAATTTCTGCACAGCGATGTGAATGAACGAAACAGATCAACAGCAGCTTTTTCCGATTTTCCATCTTTGCTTACCACACGTATGTTGCGGTAAAAGAGATAACTATCTCTATCGACATTTGCCTTGAATTGAACTCGTCTCGAGCACCTCAATAGAACGAGTCATTTCTCTCACGTCGGTTCACGCGCGCTAAAAAACCGTGGCGCGCGCCCTTACAGCTTGGCACTTCTCACTCTACGATATTTTTTTTCTTTTGCTTCAATCGTTTCTAAGCAAATTCGTAGTGCGTAATTAGGTTGCTAGCGGTATTTACGCGTTCATTTATTATGCTTCCTCGTCATTAGCAACCTTTTGAAAGCAAACTTTGAACTTTGCATTTAGTGTAGACAATAGCGTCATTTGAGAACAATGGCCATGTGCGAGGAAGTGTGTAAAAATAGACTTCAAACCATTTCTGCGAGTGTACTTCTCAAGCACAAAACGACTCGTGTCCCTCTTTTATCTTGGAGCAAAGCGTAGTTATCAGTTGCTAATCGTTATTTCGCAAGAATCTCAAAAAGAACCTGTTACGAGTACAAACAGTTTTACCTACTGCTTTAGCAGTTCTACTTTCCAACAGTTTTTTTCCTCATAACAAACTCTAATCCTACACCACAGATCATGCGCCATAGAAATATTGTGTGAATGTCGACATTTATTAACGTTATGACAATCAGCTCGAGTGAAAATTGAATCTTGAAAAAATAAAAAGCTTTAAGGTGACGTTATTCAGAACATGACCCAATAAACTTTAATGAAATACTGAATCAAATGGTTTTATTTTGAACTTGGGGCAGATGTAGAGATTACGTATCATACATCGCATTAAGAGGAAAGAAAAAAGTTTCGAAGAAAAGGTTCGCTACGGGTTAACGTGCACGATTCACTTTATATTTGAGTTGAAAAAAAACGGGATAGTGAAATCAATAAGCATATACAATTAAACTTTTTATTTCCAGCTTCATAGTCCAAGGATCAGACTACTAACAAAAAGTTTGCAACTTCATATGTCGCTGAAACCTAACAAAAAACATAACCCTCTTCCCGACCAGTTGAAATTTTATTTTATGTTGACTGATTTTCTTGAGCTGAAACTTACTAAAAAGAGAAACAAAGAATTTTATCTTTATGAAAAAAATCAAGTTCTTAGATGTAACCTAGTTCGTAATTTACCCCACCAGTTCGCAAGATTGTCTGTGACGGAAGCTCACACACAGGGCTAAGAACCGGCAAGTGGATGAGTCATCATCAAAGCTAATACTGAGATCGATTATCAAACATGAATTCATCTTTTAAGCGATCTTTCGCTTGAAACTTCTTCGCTTGAAATGCATTGCAAGTCTTATGACTTATTCTTCTATTAGTATATTAGGTCGTTCCATAAGTTCGCAGCGTTTCCATTTTCGTCCTCATATTTTTGAGGAGCGGTTGACTTGCGGCAAGATGCGTATATTATTTGGAAGGGCTGATTGTGCTCTTTAAAATACCTCTACTAATTTCGGTAGAAAGCCGATTCACACGGATCACGCAGCTTCCAAATATGGAAATCTTGAAAGACAAAAAGGAGCAAATTCAGCATCGCATTTTTCCTTATAAAAAGAAGGGCTTTTGCACAGATTTTTGTGTCGATTGTGGAACATTGCGCTCGCACATCAATATGAAACAAAAAGGATTGGACTACTACAAAAGATCAGGGGCTGAGCAGGGTGTCCTTGAACAAGGCTATTCGGAGGACAGGCAGGACGTCCTGCACTGAATGTTGGTGTACACGTAGGCGTTGGTCAAACCATACCGTAAGCAATCCAACTGCACCGTTTAAACCAGGTCCTACCGCAGAAAAAATCTAACATACAGATCCAATGAGCTTTTCTGCATGATGAAACCTGCACTCATACTGCAAACGTCGTCAAAATTGTCCTGCACGATTTGAATGGAAGGTACTTCAGTACCCAAAGTACTCTCCAACTCGCTCTATTAGATTGTTATTTGCTCCGCTCTTTGACAAACCTCATGAATGGTGCATGTCTCGATTCCAGAAGTAGTTTGAGCGCTAATTAGATGACTTTCTTGGGACCCGGCGCGCTGCCGTTTGAAAAACTGAGGTTGAGAAGCTAACAAGAATGTGCCAAAAGGTAGTGCGCAACAACGAGAAATATAATTTTGATTGATTTTTACTGTAAAATATGATTTCGCTGATTTGTAAAAACGCTGCGAACTTATGGAACGACCTAATACTTTAGCCCTATGCGAAATCCAAAGACATGGATTTGCTTTCACGAGTTTTTGGAACTTGAAAAAGAATACTAAGCAACTCAAGAGCTGTTATTTTGGTGTAGGCTAGTTTAGTTTTTTTTTATTCTTTTACAAAATTCTGTGAATACACTACACATCTTTTGCAATTTTTTTCGTGAGTTAGAACAGACTAGAAGAATTATAAATCAAACTTGGCTATACCTCTCACTTTCGTTTATCTAGAATCGTGTCATCCTCGAGGTACTTTCATGAGAACATAACCCTGAGTGAATAAGGGCTGAATCAATCATGAAGACTGATTCACTTACAGAAAACTGACAGAGATTTTGCAACGCAAATTCGGAACTTTCAAGAGTAACGCTATGTTGAAACTAGATAGTGCATGTCAAACATCAATAAAATTATATTGATTGGGTCCCCTAAAAAAATTTTTTGTGATGAGCAAATACGAAGCTTCATAAGATTTGACTGTTATTTAGCCTAAGATGGATTTATTTTGTGGGAGCAACTTTTTGCCTCCAGTATCACATATTATGGTTCAGGGATTTTTGAAAGTAACAGTTATGTCCCGGGACGGCTATGTCAAAATCATTGATTTTGTTGTGTTTATAACATAGTGGAAGCATTATAAATTGTCTGTGATTACAACTAATTGGTAACAAAAATATCAATTGATGATAGACGTACAAAGTCAATATGATATCCACGTTCAGCGTGCTAAAACCTCTCTAGAAAAAATTCCAGCCAAACCTATATTTTGGCTCCAACCACTTACCGTAGCCACACAGGGAGACGTCTCCGTTCGCAAAAAGCGTGATAATCGTGATCATCATGTCGAATAACCCTCCTATGCAAAATTTTAGCGAAATCTGAGGTTTTGCCTCATATCTACCATGACCCCTCAAAAAGGCCAAACCATGCAAAATGTCATCTTCGTAATTAGCAGGTTGAACCCCCGAGGCGAGTTTCCTGCAAAATCATAATTTTCAATTTTTTAGATTGTATTGAGTGGAATAGCGCCGTCCTACTAGAAGCAAATGCTTCTTCCACAAGTTCTGCGACGATTCCCTACCTCCGCCGTGGCTGTATCAACGCCAGTGAGGCAGATAATGACGGGAACGGCGCTCGCTCTCTACGCTCTAGCAAACATCTTTTTCGTACTTTCCTTATCTGAACTCCTCGTCCATGTTCAGCCACGGCAGGAGCAAAGTTCCTATAAGAGCATTGTCGCAATGATAAAAAGTCCCAAAAAAATCCTCGCGAAGCTTTCACTCTCATCGTGCCTCTGCGTCTCTTTCTGCCTGACTCATGTGTTAAACTGCGTTTCTTCGCAGCCGGTGCTATCTCGGCGCGCTCTGTCACCTCAGCTCGCATTCGCCGCCGCTGCACGTTTTGGCAAACGTTTCCCCTTCAAAGTCCATCCCATTCTCCTCATTCTTGCTTTCGTTCACAATTCCCATAACGAATTGTAGGTCAAGGGTCGTCAGATACGGTAATGGTGAGGACAAAGGCAACGTTGAAGCGGGCCGAACAAGCGAAAAAACGAGGCAAAACCGAGAAACCCACATCTGGTTCGTTATTCTTCGTACGTGTGTATTGAAATCGCCGCAATCCCCTTGCCAACGCGACTTCGGATCTCAAAAATCACAGATCACAAATTACTCGCCACATTGTAATTCTGGAATGCTTCGAAATTCTCATTTGCTATCTCGGAAAACGAAAAAAGAAAAATGTTATGTTATGCCAAGTACATATATTTCATTTTAGCTTGGACAAAAGTCAGTTTCAATGATTCTGCAAATCTACAAAGCTGGAAGAAAAAATTTTTTTCTCAATTTTTCTCCAACTTTTGCTCCATTAAAGGCCGAATTCACAAAAAAGAGCCTTTCCGGCTTTCTATGTAATCTGCGATTTCATTCACTATTCACTGGCCTAATCGGGGACCAGAAAAACCACGTTCGGCATTTGAAATGGAAAGTTTTTGATCTTTATTTACGGATTTGCTTATTAGAGTACATCAAATCTGCTAGAGCTACCGTACTCACAGCAAACGCTGCCTCTGATCAATATATCGATTTTTTGGGCATCGCTTGATGTCTTAATGTTCTTCGACGAAATTGTTAACTTTCACTTTTTATAAATGGCTCCTCCGAAATCGTTTTGGACCCGTATAATCTTTCTGGTACTATTCCACATAAGTTGACCCAAAAAATGAAAATCGTGAATCTCGCTAAAACTTCGTCTAGGGGGTTATTTGGTACGCTGAATACGAATATGATGTTTATCCTGTGCGACAGCGCGATCCGGTGGAGTTACGGTAGGATTAGGTAGGGGATCAAAATCACGGATTTGCCCGAAATTTGGCCCAAAAGGGGTTATTCGGCCCGCTGATGCCAAATATCACATTGGTTTTGAACTGTAGCATCATTTTCTCGGGCTACGGTAGCTACACGGTAACGGGTGTAAAACGTAGAAAACATAGTTCATCCCGAAACGGGTGTGTGGTGATTCGGATGACCGTGAAGCTTTGCACACATGACCACCGCCGCGCGCTACACACTCTGCTGCGGCTTTTGCCTAAGCAAAGCATAGGGGAAAGTACATTTGCCGATTTGTGATTTTGACCGCCACCGTAAATCTACTGTAACCATGCAGGGAGACGTTTTCGTGCGGAGAAAGTGTGACATTTCTAATCAGCATATCGAATAACCCCTCTGTGCAAAGTTATAGCGAATTTCGAGATTTTAACCCCCTACCGTATACCCACCGTAATTCGAGAAAATGACACTACAGTACAAAACCAATGTGATATTCGGCGTCAGCGGGCCGAATAACCCCTCTAGGCCAAGTTTCGGGCAAATCCGTGATTTTGACCCCCTACCGTAATCCTACCGTAACTCCATCGGATGGCGCTGTCGCACGAAATAAACATCATATTGGTGTTCAGCGTACCAAATAACCTCCCTAGACGAAGTTTTAGCGAAATTCACGTTCTTCATTTTCTGGGTCAACTTATGTGGAATATCTTTCTTTGCTTTTTATATTAGGTTGAACCGAAAGTTCTGTCGCACCATTTTCAAAAAATCATAACTTCTTTGACTCACAAGGATTTTGCGCAGCTCAAATTTTGTCTGAAAGCGTAAAGCAAGTAGCTTCCAAGAGCTTCCTGAAGACTTTCCAAGGTGCTCAGGTTGCAGAGATAAAATTGAAAGGACGAGATCATCCGAAGTTCGGAATTTTTAAGCAAGAATTCTAAAAATTCGGAAAGTGTGCGACAAAGTCCAGAAAAGCCATTATCCTAATTTTTCTCATATTAGATTACTATCTGAGTCAAGTTTGTGCTGATCGAGGTCTTCTTTCAGGAGTTATGAATTTTTGAAAAAAATAGCCAAAAAATCCATTTCTTAAGAATTCTTAGGAAATTGATTTTTTGGCATTATTTTTCAAAAAATCAAAAATTTTAAAAGAAGGCCTCGATCAGCACAAACTTGAAACAGTTAGTAATCAAATGTAAGGAAAATTAGGATAATGGCTTTTCTGGATTTTATCGCACTGTTTCTGAATTTCTAGAATTCTTGCTTAAAAATTCCGAATTTCGGATGATCTCGTTCTTCCATTTTTATCTCTGCCATCTGACAAGGGAATGGTCAGAAATCGAAGCGGCCATTCCAGACAAGCTGCGTAGCGATAGATGCACCAAGAAGCGCTGACTCTAAATCTGTCTTCTTTATCTGCTTATCGCTTTTCTGGACGAAGTTATAAGCCATTAAAGACCATTATTTTGCTTAGAAATTATGCGTGAAATTGAAAATTTAGCCGTACAGAGCCTCGTTCGCCTCAATGCTGGGCCAAAACATGCAGCTAGCTTACTTAAAACTAGATGGCTTACCCGGCTCCGCCCGGCCCTGTCATTATTTTATTCGTATCAGCATGCTCGATTACCCCCCTGTGCCAAATCCCAGCCCCGTAGCTCAAACTTTGCAAAAAAATCGATAAAATCGATAGAAGTAATGCACGATTTTAAAAACTAATATTGTATTCGGAATCCCCATGCTCACTTACCCCCCTGTGCCAACTCCCAGCCCCGTAGCTCAAATTTTGCAAAAAATCGATAAAATCGATATCGATCGATGACGAAAAGTAGCCTATGACACCCGCCGGGGCCCGAAGTGTATGTGTGCCAAGTTTGGTCCAGATCGGTTCAAAAATGGAATTTTCTATTCGGAACATACGTACAGACAGACATACAGACATACAAACAGACATTCAGCTTTATATATAAGATTTTTGAAGCCAAAGCCGAGCTAAAAGTGCAACAACGTGCTCAATTTCGCTGTTTTTATGTATGATTTTTTCATAATAAAATTGCTTGTAGCTTCGTCCACAGAAGCGGGAAGCAGATAAGGAAGACAGATTCGCAGTCAGCGTTTTATACTGCATCGAATGATATACAGCTTGTTTGGTTTGGCCACTTCGACTTCTGACCATTCCCTTGTGAGCAGGTCAAAAACTTCCCAGGGAGATCTTGGAAACTACATGCTTTACTCTTTCAGATAAAATTTGAATTGCGCAAAATCGTCATGATTGAAAGAAGTTATGAGTTTTTGAAAATGGCGCGACAGAACTTTCGGTTCAACCTAATATAATACCAAACGCTATCAGAATGACCACTGTGTATTCTGAATCGTCTACACAACATGGTTCATGATAAGAAGCCTATCGAAAATTTTACTTTTGGAACAGGTTTATTTTCGGAAACAGTATCTATGAACGCTCGTACATATGATCTAGCAATCGTGTCCTCCTACCATAACGAGAAAATCATTCGAGTGTTGATTTAGAAAGTTTTTCTGATTTATTCCGTAACATGAGAAAGTAGGCTTACTGTCCTGTACTACATCACGGTACAAAAAGGTACTTCCCTCAGGCCCAATGAGAATAAATCTGACGCATTTTCTAGGCACAACTTTGTTTTCCATTGTCATATGGGAATGAATGTGTTTAGATGTCTCTTTCCTCAGTGTGGTGGATGTTAGGTTTTCTTTGAATCTTGACATTGTTTTGAACACTTGTCGATTTGGTGGCTGAGTTTCTCTGTCCTTCTCAGCCTTTCCTTTCACTCTTTTCATTTTACTCGATTCTTTGCTGGGTTCATATAGTTGCTACTGCACAATTTTCAATCCGTCACTTTAACTTTTCCTCTCTGCAAAATTTCACTTCACATCCCAGCCTCGCTGTGTCAGACTATTGTATAAATTTCGCAGACTTTAGCAGCCCAACTTATCTGCACAAATCCGGTTTGGAAAGATCCTCCTAAGAATTGCTTGCATTTGAAGCATCTTGTGGTCTTCATCATGACAAAAACTCAACGAAGCGTCGAATCAAACATCGTGTGTGGTCCAAAACCAGACTCTGTTGGGAGTTTGCACTCATGTCGTTCTCTATTCACAGAATAGCCGCGTAAATGCAGAAGATAAAGTGAACTCGTCAAAAAAAAATTATTCGGTTGATTCTGTGTTTGAGATTTCTAAAATGAAACTTTTTAGTCGCTTTCTCTTTGACTCCTTTATGCCCAATTCAAAATGCTTTTCTTTTATTTTCATCGAAACACAGTGTCCACCATTATTCAAAATGCACTACTTTACCTACACCCCGGCTGCTATATTTCCCTCCCTCGGCTGCGATGACATCTCACTTTATTGTCGCCATGATAGGCTTTCCTAAATACTGTAGATTTTGGCTATTTATCCTTCAAATTATCAAATTACCGTCGTTCTAAGTTTCGGCGGGTCTGACTGCTAACAAAGTGTGGACACATAGTGGAGCTGTGAAGCAAAAAAGTGGAAATGCAACCTTTTGATAAGAATATACAATGAAAATGTTTTCGTTGACTTAAGGATATCAAGAATCGCGCGTTCAGAATCGTGCTGCCAGGAGCCAAAAGAAATGCAGTTATGCTCCTTTGCGTAAAAAGCTGTTGATGCATATTGTGAAGAGTAAATCGACATATTTTTTGATACATTATCGATTTTTAGAGAATATTAACCCCAGATAAATCATAGAGTTTGCGCGTGATAGTCCAATGTTTTTTAAGGATATTCATCATCACGTTCTCAATCATGGTTGCATATCAACTCGCTTTTATCAAGTTTCACTCTTTTTCTCGAAAATGATTACAGCTGGTATTTCATTTGTCACAATTTATGCTTTTTCTGTCTGAGGCTCACACACTCCCACTTCTCTTCAGTAAATCTTTGAAAAAAAAATGCAGTGAGGTAAACTAACAATGGGCCAGCGCCCCTACTAGCTGTTCCCTGACTTTTGTTTATGATAGCAATGTGTGTTTAATCAGTGCTATCTCGACAATCAGTATTTTGATGTTGGCATATTCATGTTTTCCATTTTCGTTTCCAGGCAACAAATGATAAATACTTTTTTCCCTGACTGCTGGAAGGCTTCGGAGTTCTTCCAAAGTTTCTATTCTCTTGCTACAAAAGTCAATCCCAGCCAGAACAACGATTAAAACCGCTTTTTTTATATAAGCAAGTCTCTCTTACACTCCCGTTCGAATCATATTTTGTAATATATCTACTTAAGATATGGCGCTGTTCTGATCTTTTCTGTTCTGATGCTACACCATTACAACATGTGTCTGTGAAGCTTTGAAAGACATTCTTACGCTAGTCATTCGGCAGCAAGAATATATGTATCAAATTTATGTGTCTGATATGAAATATCTTTTGGTCTGTACTATCTCTCACTTTTCAACAGCTAACAACACCTCGTAACAACTCATTAACTCATTACCGACTGCAGAACCATGGACTTTTAGTACTTTTGGTCGACCATCTCGAGCATTTACTCCTCAAATTCACATCCTAACGTGTTGAAGAAGTTGCCGTTTTAGAGTGATAATCATTTCTCCTATTTTTTAGTTTTAAGTATACTTTACTTGTATGATTCATGAATTTGGCATCTGCCCTCTTCTATGCGCATTGCTTGTCTTCGGAGTCTGATTGATGGACCTAGCGTAGCCTGTGTAAATCAAGACAAAAAATGAGTGTAGTGCTAGAGTTGGTAGATGAGTAAAGGCGAAAGCGGTATAACATTTTCCGAGAGATGTTTTATAACGGCAATTAAACTAGGAAAAGGAAAGCGGGAAGTTCAAAAGTGGAGATTTTTAAAAGTTTTGCGTCTCTTTTCTTCTCCTTCCACCCCAGAAACTTATAAATAAGTCGCTTTGGAAAGCTTGGATTTTCTTCTTTCAAATCTTATGATTTGGCAAAAATGCGGTAGAATAGAGCCTCTTTAATATTTTTCCAAGGTTCTTGAACGGCTTTATCCAGTGGTTACAAATGTTGGTCAAATCTCAAAATATTTGAGTTTTATATCTGTAGGTGGATTAGTTCCAAGACTTTGGAGTGCTTCCATATCTTCTCATGCATTCTCTCTTTACCTTCAGACTGCTCTCATCAGCTGCCTATAAATTATCCCACTTACTAGCTGAAAACTCGGACTATGCATTACGGAGAAGACAAACAAGAGAATCTTACAATCGTCAAAACTATTTCCTTCATCGGTGATCGTTTAAATACATCCGTTTTTCTGCTTGCATTGCCCTTTTTTTTTGCAAGTTGTTGTAGATAAAGTTTTGCAACCTACAATATCGAAGTTTTTTTTCTAACAACCGACAAAGTTTCTGTTTCGACAAAAGATAATTTTCGCATTCCATAAATAATATTCACTCCATCCCCCAAAGCAGTATTACTGCAGTATTACTTAAAGCAGTATTACTCATTCTAAAACTACATTTGTCTGACTTTTGTTGTCTGGCATAGGACAGCTACACCAGACGTTTTGGATTTCTGTCGCATCACTAATTATTGGAACCTTCAAGATTAGTTCATACAGGGATGCAAGAATTTTGGGTGATTGCGAGGAGTCCAGTTGTATGTACTCAACGCTGAGCTGTGTATGCCTTGATACTGTATGGTTTGTTCCTTCGTCATTCTGTAGCTATTGTCTCGAAAAGTGTTGAATCATTGTTTGTCAAAAAGTTTTTGCAATTTCATCATGAAATTGTTGCACTTTCAGCAATATATTAGGTTGTGTCCCGAAAGTTTTGTCGGTTTTTTTCAAACCACTATAAAACCACGCACAATCAGACCCAAATGAATTTCAACATGCATTCGGTGCAGCTTTTCCTTCTCTTTCTTATGAGTACATTTTCTAGCCAAAATCTTGTATGCTTTTTTTGATACTTGCCAAAATTCTCCACCCACCAATTTTATCTGCCCGAAGTTCGGCTAATTTTTAAAAATTTCTTTCAAAAGTTGCGGAAAAGCTTAAGTAAGGATCAAATAGAGCAATTCTCTGACTATAAGGATATAACATGGCCTACAAGACATCAATCTCAACTTATAAGGATATATTTTTAGGTTTCCCTAAGCAGCTGTTTTTAGCTTCAAAAAATTATTTTTTAGGAGGTCTCGATTTTTGGCAAAGTCATGAAACACGCAGCTGCAGCAAATACACGAAAGCTTTCAAAAGTTTCTGCGAATTGAAACACCATTCTTATTAAACATTATTCATGCAACATAACCAAGTTTGATTTGCTTTGAAAAAGCAGATTTTTGGAATTCTCGGTACTTTCACGTGGTACACACAATCAAAAAGCCGCGGTTTTTATTGAATATTAGGTAGGTCCAAAAGTTCTGTCCCATCATATTCAAAAAATCGTAACTTCTTCTTAACACAGTGTTTTTGCAAGAGTAAAACCACATTAGAAAGAGCAATTCATGTACTTTCTAAAACTGTGTTGGCTGCTATTCATTAAGCTCTGAATGCAGAGGTAAAATTAGAGAAAGGAATTCATTTCAATTTCGGAATTTTTAAGCAAACCCGTTAAAAAATCCAAAAGTGTGCCATAAAATCCAAAACAGCCAGTATCCTAGGTTTTTTGATCCCCTCTTTCCAGCTGAGCAAAATTTGCGTTGATCGAGCTCTTTTGAAAGAAGTTATGATTTTCAAGAAAAAATGCCGAAAAATCAGTTTCTTAAGAAAATTGATTTTTTGACATTTTTTTTTCAAAAAATCATAACTTTCCGAAGAACAGCTCGATCAACGCGAACTTTTCTCAGCTGGGAAGAGGGGATGAAATAGTCTAGGATAGTGGCTGTTTTGGATTTTATGGCACACTTTTGGATTTTTTAACGGGTTTGCTTAAAAATTCCGAAATTAAAATGAATTCCTTTCTCTAATTTTATCTCTGCATTCAGAGCTTAATGAATAGCACCCAACACAGTTTTAGAATGTACATGAATTGCTCTTTCTAATATGGTTTTACTCTTGCAAAAACATTGTGTTAGGAAGAAGTTACGATTTTTTGAATATGATGAGACAGAACTTTCGGACCAACCTAATAAATAATTATAACGGAATTGGTAAACGTGGTCCATGGAATCTTAGATGGGTACAATGTAGTCAAAAGCTTGTTCTACATAATAGTCACCAGTGCTTTTCAAAATCAGCAGGATAAAAATTTTAAAATTCAGGAAAGATTTGGTGTTGCTGCTGAGCTGCTCAAAAAGCCATGGCGAAAACATCGCAAAGACAGGGTAGATCAGAGAGCAAACATAACTGTAAGAAAGAGCAGAAAAGTCTGAATCAAAAGGTACTTAAGTAGTCCAAGGAATGGTGTTCTGTGAGTCTGAGTGAGCGATGAAAAAAAACGGACAAAATTTTCGGGACAACCTAATATTAGGAAATACTTTTTTGTGCCAGATACCCTTGTATTTTGATTTAGCACGGAAGTCATACGAAGAAGAAAACATTCCGGTTTTAATCCATAAGATTCTTTGCTTGTACAGTCTTCCAGTTTATGCGATCATCATTAGTCATAATGTTTACTTTTCTCTTTCACCATTTCACGCTGAATGTTAGAATTATCAGTCCGGAGTCTTGATAACGGAAAACAGTCATTGTGGGTTAAAGGTATGTTTAGCCATACGAGTTTCAAACAGTCTCGTTGTATTTGAACAGTTGTTAAGCGAAAATAAGAAGTTTGCTGCATGGATTTTGACTTTTCACCATAACCTTTCACTGATATCCCTGTGAGAAAGTTTGTGATTTGAGCCGTATCTCAATCAAGAATATGTTCAAAGTAGTTTTTCAGTAATACTTTCAGTTAATTACCCTCGGGTGATGACGGTGCCAAATGGCCTGCAGTTTGAGTAGATGCAAAGCTTGTTTATGGCCTGATTTTGAACGTTAGTGAATTGGGAGGTTTGAGGAAAATCGTTAGCATTGGAATAAGGTTATGTTTGAAAACAATTTATGCAACTAGAAGCTGTAGTCGATGTTGTAACCCTTATTGGTGTAGAGGACAAAATCTCAAAGTTATGAAGAGCAAAAAACAAAAAAGAATGGAGACGGAAACACTATTGATGCGATCCAGGGCCATGCACTTTCTTGAGGACCAAAAATTGGGACCGATTTTCCCCTCTATGCTAGTAATGGTGCTCACCGAACTAGCAAACAATGTTTTTTGAACCTCCGCTCCCCCCCCCCCCCCCCTTCTTCCCTGATACTGGCTATATATCTACAAAATATTGCTGCGTATAAGAATAGCCTGAATTTAAAAAAAAATCACCAATAATACTCTTTTAGCTCCAACTCGGCATTCAACGCGTATCCGAAAGCAGACCGTTCTTCATGTTGCTCCAGACTTTCATCCGAAATCAAGCCCTAAAAAAGGGAAAGGCCGACGTAAGATTAAATCGGAAGTGGTCGTTATTGAGAAGAAAGGAAGAGGAGGAAAAATCACTAAAACAAAAGTACTGAAAGGACGAATGGATGCAAAGCCGCAAAAGGTCAGGTTGTAGATCACTTATAGATTAATTTACTTCTCATTGTACCAGGAAATTATTTAGAAACTTTTTCTCTATAGTTTTTCTATATCCGTTATTAGGCGTCACGCACTGATGTTATATAATTCTCCTGATTTACAAATTTGAGCAGTATCAATTTTCTCGTAAAATGGAAAAAATATTGCTCTGCTATTGTTCTGCTTTCTTGATATTCGAAATCGTTCACACCTTCCAGAGAAATTCCAAACAGATCAAATAACATTTTTCATATTTTGATTGTGCATTATTTTGCATGTGAACTGCGTATATAAATGATGACCGAATGTGTTTGGAACCCTTGCTTTTTTGTGAAGCAGAATTTTTCTCACTTCTGTCGAAATTATTATATTTTTGACTAACACGTTTCAAAAGAGAGGGTTTTTGTTGTTCCAGAAAGCATCAGCAGCTTCTAGAAAAGGTAACGATCGCCTCATACCTCGCCCAGAAGTGAAATTATGCAAGGTCAGTTCTGTATCCCTTAGTTAATTAGCTTTGTAAAACAGTTTTATCTTAGTGAATGCAATTTATTCTTTTTCCAACTCAGCATTACCTGCTTAGCATGAGAAGACATTCAGGAAAATCCTTTCTTCTCATCGGTAAAGGCACCTGAGTATGTGAGCTTTGTGAGCAATGTACGGCTTCTTATCAGAGCCATTACCAAAGGAGATCTCAAGGAGATGCGAAGGTTGATGAAACCAGATTGCAGGTATCTAGGACATTCTTTATCTCTTACTGATTTAAGAACGATAGTTTCCGAAATCTTGGTTTCTGAGTAAGACTGATAAGGTAGATGTTTTCAGATATATCGACGCACCCTCATGTTCTTTAAAATTTTCGTACGCGCAAGACAAAACACCGGATGGTTGTGCCCTTTTATGCGATAACGATGCTGTTCGACAAGAATATTTCAAGCTTAGATCTCAGCTAAAACCCGGGAAAACCTCACGAAGAGAGCCAAATCTCCTTCGAAGGGTGAGCTTCCTCTTCTATAAGGAAAAAGCAGAACTATTTGAAGTTAGTGCTTCAGAAAACCACTGGACAGTCCAACTTCTATATGTTGGGTCGTGCCACCAGAGCAGTAGAAATGACTCGAGGTACTATGGACAATGAATGTTAGTGTCTACAATTTCGAATTTTCTAGGTGGCCGTGAGGGAAACAATGCATTTTTGAACTTTGAGTCTCAGACTGAATCGGAGTCTGGAAAAGATCTCGTAATGAACGGAATGAGTTACAAAGACCTAGTCAAGGTGTCTAAGGAACCAAATGTCTCATCTGGTGAGTGCATCAACCATTTATTCTTTTTTTCTGGTTCAATATCATTACCCGTTCTTTTTGGGTCTTGAATATCCCTGTTAAGCCGTCAATCTTAATGTGAACTTCATGGACGGCATGGTGGTCGTAGCCGCAAGGATGGGTTCGCTGGATGTGGCCAGTGCTTTTGCTGAAGGACCCGCAAGTGCAAATCTAAACGACTTGCATAGAGAGACCCTCAAGTAGGGCTTTAAGACAGTGTGCAGGCACATTTGGGTACCTGAAATTTTTACGTGCACTTTATCATAAATAATTTGCTCAAGCAGCAGCTCGTTGTCATTTGTGGCCGAGAAATTCAGCTCCGAGCTCTCGCTCCCATAGTACTTTCAAATCGAGCGGACAAACAGAAATTCGAGTACTAAAGAGTACTGTCTGGGCAAGGGTCTGGATTTGAATTTCTCGATCATAAATGATTTATAACAGCTGTTGCTTAGGCAATGACATAGGTATTGCTTTCAAATCAGTTCCCCCATTGGGAATCCAAGCACTTAGCTTTGTCTCGAGACAGCCTGCGAACATCTTTTGAACAATCTCCACTTTGTGTTTTGCTTATAGGAGAAACCCAAAACTACCCGAACGAATTCTTCCTGTGTCAGTGCTCAAGAAAGGCTATAATAATGCCAATATCACCCCTCTACACACAGCTTCTATCAATCCAAACGTGAAGGTTTGTTTACGAGGTTTTATTTTATGCTCGGGACATGCCGCATCAGTCATTGAATCCCTATTTCAGAAAATAGGGAGTTATCTTGGAATTTGTAAATTTATCCTTTTTCAAATTATACGTGGTCTTCATCTTTCCTACAATCATTGACTAAAAATTTCCAAGCGGACTTGTGATTTTGTTTAGTTCATCTGTTGACCCTCCAAAGGAATGACGACACATATCATCTTGTAAAAGCTGCTCATAATTTAGGTCCTCGAACGTTTACGCACGATCGAACCGAATATCAACATACCGGACAGCAATAACTGGTTCATCTTTTTTGTAATTTATCCAGTATGTATTCTGACTAATTCTGCATTTGAGGTACACCATACATTACGCAGCCGTATGCGAAGGACCTGAACCCTTGAAGTATCTTCTGAAGAATGGCGCACCCCCTACGGCGCTTACCAAGCAACACGAGACTCCCTTGCATGCTGCTGCACATGCTGGTCGGAAAGAAAATATAAAGGTCCTTCAAACTTGAAAATCTATTCCAGACTATAATTGATTTTCTAGATCCTTCTCGAAGCTATGGCCAAATTAGAAACTACCGATGGTGATGTACCAGCGATCAAACCTGAAAAATCTCTGATGAATGCCCGTACAAGACAAGGCGACACGGCGCTTTGTCTTGCAGTTAGGGGACAGAAGTGCTTTTATTTTTTTTCTATCTCAGGTCAAGGATGATTGAAAAATTTTTTCAGGCCAGAAGCTGTTACTGCTCTTCTTGCGCACAAGACTGTGCTCGTTGATCATCCTACCTCAACGTCAAAGCTTAAGATGTCACCGTTAATGGCAAGTTTTGAAAAATTGGTTGCTGTTAGCGGTTTACTCCAAACTACCAGCCTGATGGCGTTCTAAGTTGGATTTTGTACTGTAAATCTTCTTAAACTGCAAGAATGCAAGACTTCCATGTATTCTTACTGAAGATTTTGTTACCCGTAGTATACATAGCTTTTGCTGGGAGATCCAGCTGTAGCATTTTCAGAGTAAAGCGATAGGGTGAACTAAACCTTCTGAGCTTTCAGTATCTATATTATCTCTGATGTGCAAGGAATGCTTAATTTATTGAATTGGCCTGAGGATATGTTCACTAGAGAACCCCATTCTATGGCATTAAAAGCATCGTTCAGCAATTTTGGTTAGCTGGGCTTTTTAGGTGGAAATTGAAATGAATTTTTTGACTTCATTGCTCAGACGGCTGTGCTCATGGCCAAGGAATTTGTAATTTTACAGACCATAATTACCGAGCTGACCTATGCTTGTACCGAACTAGAATTAGCTGAATAGTGGCCACGAAAGATCAAAAAAGCTGGCGCTTGGATGTTTTGGTTCAATCCTTCAAGTCGTAGGGAAGATGGCATCGGATTTGCGTGGATGCTGACTTCACGTTCTCGTTAATTCTGACTATTTTTGTACTTGTGGTAGCACTTACCTATTTGAAAATATCATTCTATCTATTTTTTCTACTTTTGATATTGCTTTTTCTGGAAATAGAGCTTGTCCAGATACTGTACAGATCGCATTTTGATAATGGAACACTAATCAAAGTTAGCCACTCTTCAGAGTTGACAATTACAGATAGCTTGTTCTCTTGGGAATCTCGAAATCGCTGAAATCCTAATCGCCCATGGCGCTCTCATCATGGCAAAAGATCACAAGAAGCGTACAGCTTTATCGCATGCTATCATTAACGGACAAGAACATTGCGCGGCTATGTTACTGGCAAAAGGAGCTGACTTTCTCAAGGTAATCAAATACATATTCGAATTGGAATTGCTAGTAACGCCATGTTCAAGGGTGATTCTTCCAACAACACACCTGCACACTATGCTGCTGCTTACGGTTGGCTAGAATGTCTAAAGCTTTTGGCTAGTGTTGATCCGAGCTGCCTCAAGCAAGAAAATGATTGGAAGTTGACACCACTCTCCATCGCTTATCTCAAAGGTGAGCTGTGGAAGCCAAATAATATTCCAAGTGTAGCCATATTATATAGGACATTATGGAATTGTGCAATGGCTTCTGGACGAGATGTCCGAATATGTGGATATTAATGGGAAGGATATGGAAGGTGTGACGCTGTTGTCATCATTACTGCGTTATACTGACGAAGATGCGCAAAGCGAACTTCTTGAGCAGATGCAGTACTTACTATCCAGGTAGAGGTTCGGTTTCATAATCAGCGACAGATGCGAATCCTTAGGCATAAAATTAGGTTGATACAAGAATAACACGTCGTACACGCAGATCTCTAAAGCTCATAAATGATTTTTTTATAGTGAATTTTTTGAAAAGCAGCGCAGCAGAGATTATACGCTTCACTCACGAGATTAATCAAACTCAGCGTGGTGTAAACAGTTTTTTGCTACCATCATCTTAGAGGCATTGTCCAGGTCAACTGGGGGGGGGGGGGGAGTGGGGTGAGGTCTTGACGCACTGCGAGAGTAAGGCTCATGACTGAACCAACAGTTCAAGTCCTATCGGAAAAGGTGGAACTCTGAAGGAGAAAATCGCTTCGGAAAAAAGGACGGTACTCCAATCCCGCCTCCTTGACAAGTTTTGACGTGGTAAATGCGCTAGATCTACTGTGTTGGCCACGTAAAACTTGTCAAGGGGGCGGGATTGGAGTACTGCCGCTTTCTTCTGAAGCGATTTTCTCGCTTCAGAATCGATCTTTTTTGATCGAACTAGGACTGTTGCGTTAGTCAGGAGCAGCGCTCTCGCACTGCGTCAAGACCCCAATACCCCCCTCCCCCAGTCGATCTGGACAATGCCTTTGAGTGTTGATCTTCAATGATGCGAGAATAATGTGAAAGAAAAGCTGGACAAACTTAACAAATAGGTTTTGGTTTGAAATCTTCTTGATATGACAAAATCAGAATGAATCATGGATTAGTACATCACACGTCATCATTTAGCTCAAAACAGTTGAAATAATTTCCAGTTCATCTATATTCTTCCGAAAGGATTTTGTGATTTCTCAAAGACAGAGAGCGATTGATGAGTGTAAAGCAAATGCCTTCAGTTATATTTTCCTCGCCTTTGTATGAATTCACCATTATCGGTATTCTGCAGAGGTGCTGACTGTTCGATCGCTGATAGCTTGGGCAACGATGTAATGCATGTTTTCGCTGGAATTAATGTTCGGCTACGAGATCCCAGTGAAGATTCGGAAAAGGGGATGTTAGAAAGTGAATATCAAGCATGTTTCGAGGAGATCATGAAGCATGGCGGAAATGTGGAACGAAGGAATGAGTCAGGTATGAAGTTGGCTCATTCGCCCTCCTCCACTAGGTATGTTAATTTCCAAGTAATTGCTGTATATTTCAGCACAAACTCCGCTCCACATCGCTCTTGGAGCTACGAATTTGATCCTTTTCAAATGGATGCTGGAGCATCTTCGTGATGTTCGTGCGACTCTGGCAGTTCCATGGTTTGTCATTTTCTGTCCTGCCTTAATCTATTGTCTAGTCGTAGTACCTCGAACTGATTAGCCTAAATACATCCCTTATATGTCGCTGGACGACAGGTCTGCTGAAGCTAACATTCTGCACATTCTTCTGGCTGTTCCGGTGAATGTGTGGGCGAACCGTCGTTTATGGCGCGGAGATCAACCACCGTCACAGCATCTCTATGATGTACTGCCGATCATCAACGATGTCTTGCTGGTTTGTCTCAGCGATTTTGTGGTTTTGACTGATTCTAGCCTTTATAGAGGTACTGCAGTGAGGAAGTGAACCTATGGCTCCATCAGCCGAATGCAGAAGGTCTGCAGCCAGTGCTTTACGCCGCCAGAGCATACCAAAAAGCTCCAGCGCAATCCAACTGCAAGGTAACTTAGCTGCTTTCATCGTATTGTCCATACAGTGAACCCTTTTCCAATTGAATTATTTGTTCTCCTAGAGTCTCCTAGGAGACATAGCGCACTGCTGAATACAGCAAAGCAAAATTTAAAGTGAAAAGAAAAAAACCTTAGGAAGCTCCAAGTTGGTCGTCATACTTTAAAAACATTAGCATACCTAAACTATTTGCTAAATTTTTTCGCGCATAGAGTCGAGAAAAAGATGGTCCAAAGTAGCAGTTTCTGCTCCCACTCCAGGTATGTATACGGCAAGCCTTAGTGAAACCTCAAAATTATACTTTGTATGTCCCTAATAACAGTACAAAAGTGACATTTTTGCATTCGGGCTATTTTTGCTTTCCATTTTTGGCCTTAAAAAAATTCAGCAATTATATTCATCAAAACTACTATGTGTCTACTGTCTTATGAGCAGCAGTAGGCCCGTAGAATTTTTTTGAATAATTCCGATATTATAATTAGCTGAAAAATTTCATTCCAAGCTTTACCTGGATTACGATTTAGGTAGATCTTTGGTTGTAGTTTAGTTTTTAGAGTATGGTTTTGCTCTACCGATTAGTAGTTTGGTACTGGAGAAAAACCGTTTGATTTATTTAGAAAGGATTTCTGTGACAACCTAATAATACGTGTGCTATACCCCCCTATAATCCTTCTTTCAGCAATTCGTTGACTACATGACCAAGCTGATCGTGTGGATTTGCCAGTTGTGCCCAGACTGCTTAACAATGGTGTCCGCACCTAAAAAAGGTCCCTCTACTTCTTCGCAACCAACTACTAGTTTAATCTACTTTACGCTCATGATTCAAATAGAAGCTGGCAGTCTGCAGCTACTGAGACAACTACTCCAGCTGGCTGTTGAGAAGAAAAAATTAAGGTGTTGACTGTCACATCAAAATTTGTGTACGTGCACACTGCGTTTACAGGGAGTTGATGGAACTGATTGGTCCGGACGGCTACGGTCTTATGATCTCAGCGTTGAAAACTAACCCAATAGCGGCAGGTCTCTTACTACGAACTACCAAAGAACATGGCTGCACTGAAGGTGTCCACAATGTGATACTTATACGCGAAGCTGGTCGAAAAGATGAGGAAAGTAAGCATTTATATATGCTTCAGTAATATAGTAATTTTGAGAAAATATTGAGGGGAGAAGAGCAGGAAGGACGGAAGGGGACAGCATAAATGTCCATTGAAATTAGTAGACAGAAAGGGTTGGAACCTGAAATCATTTGTTGAGGGCCCTGTATAAAAAAAAGATTCGAAAGAATTTCTGCTAACGGATGAACGAACAATGCTCACCAATCTGCGGGAAATCTTGCTAGTACGGATAAAAGGGCATCAGGGCATAAAAGTCGCAGATGTATCTTTCTAGGCAAAACAAAACTTTCGCATTTTTTGCGTGGTTGTCGTCCGGACAAACTATGCAGCTCGGAGTTTTTTAGTTCATGTTTCATCTGTCTTACAACGCGCATATTTCACCGCAGAGATCATCAGTAATTATACATTTTTGTTTTCTTTCTGTTGCACCTGAAAGCCTATCTAAATCCATTTAGCATCTTTACACTCTCCATCTGCAATTCGTGGCCCAAAAACAAGAATCAATCCGACTCTCTTTTATAGAAATTTGATATGTTCTGTTCAAGGAAAATTGCTAAACAAATCTCTGGCAATGCTCATAGTGGAAATGAAGAGGTTTGAACTGATGAGTGAGCTGCAGCTTTCTCAAAGGGATTGGTTGCATTGCGATGCTAGTGAGTTGAACAGTGTTTTCTTGCATCCTCGGGTTTTTACATAATTTTTTCTTTATTTAGACGGTGACAATTTATGGCACTATGCTGCCAGGACACAAGATCTTCGTGCGCTTGAGCTGTTCCGACTACTTGAGTCGAAAGGCATTCCCATAAAGGTTATTTCAGCAAATGGTTCTCTGTCACGCATTTATTTACTTTTAGGCAGATAATCAACAATCGACACCTTTACATGAGGCAGTGCAAACATGCGATTGCTCTGCAAATTCGGTTTTGGAACCGATCGAATGGCTAGCTGCCAACTGTCCACAGGCAGCCCGTGATACGGTAACTTCCTTAGAAAAAAAAAAACTGTATTGTGCCTCACGATGTCAAGATATACGAGTCTTTGCAGTTTGGTAGAACTCCACTTCATTACGCCTTTGCTTCTCGGGCTCAGCTGAGTAAAGGTGGACTCACCATTGATAATCGAGACCCCATAGCTGTGGTCACAATTCTCACCCGTAACATGACCAAGCAGCAGGTAAGCTGGGTACGGTTGTCGTACGGTGTAGTAAATTTGACAGTTGATGTATGATCCCGCTTTGTTTACTAAGCTTATGCGTAAGAAACGCCCATGAGACGCGAAATTTGCAAATGTGCCTTTTCTGCTAATTTTTGCGCGCAAGTGTTCCTGGCAGGACAGAGGATTATATTAGGTTGTCCCGAAAGTTTTGTCGGTTTTTTCAAACCGCTATAAAATCACACACAATGAAGACCTGAATGAGTTTCAACATACATTCGATGCAGCTTTTCCTTCTTATTCTTAAGGTTACTTAAGAGCCAAGATTCTATATGGTTATTTTTATAATTGCCATAAATCTTCACTCGTTGGGCAGAGCTGGCCGAGAGGTTAGTGCCCTTGACTACGGCGAGAAAGGTCACAGGTTCGGTTCCGCGGCGGGCCTAATTTCTTTGGCAAAACAGCTCTGCCCACGATTCCAGCGTCAGGCTGCTGATCCAAAGGAAAGCAAGCGACAAGCCGGCTGAAGAAGAAACCCCGTCGCATCACAATGCTCTTTTATGTCTCATCAGGATTCTCGAGTAAAAGCTAGGGCGTTCCCCGGAGACGACGCGCATTTGAGCCCGACAGATGCGGATCTTCTTGGAAGACGTAGAGTAGACATCGCCTGCATCCAGGAGACCAGATGGAAGGGTGAGAAGTCACGCGATATAGGAGACGGCTTCAAGCTTCTATATAAAGGAACAAGCAGCAAAAGAAACGGCGTCGGAATAGTCATCTCCGGACGGTTAAGAGATTGTATAACAAGTGTAGATCGATTCAGTGACCGGCTCATGGGCATCACATTAGATGTGGGTGAGCGAGTTCTCCGAGTAGTCACCGCATACGCACCCCAAGCAGGTTGCACGGTAGAAGAGAAAGACGGCTTCTGGCAAGAACTAGATGACTACATCAGATGTGTACCTTCAGAAGAAACGCTACTGATTGGAGCAGATCTTAACGGCCATGTCGGTGAACAGCGAAGTGGTGCGAGTAGAAATCACGGAAATCACGGGTATGGGATCCGCAACGAAGAAGGCAATCGAATTCTGGAGTTCGCTTCCGCTCATGAATTGGCGTTGGTAAACACCTACTTCATCAAGAAGAGCGATCACCTGGTAACGTATGCCAGCGGAAATCGAAAATCGCAAATAGACTTCTGGGCGGTACGACTAAAGGAGCTCAAGTACGTGAAGAACTGCAAAGTGATCCCTAGCGAAGAATGTGTACCACAACATCGACCACTGATTCTAGATCTGAATATCCCAGTCAAGAATCGAAGAAAGGCAATGACGGAGGACAGAATACGCATCAAGTGGTGGAAGCTCAAAGACGACGCTCGATCCAAAGCTGCTATGGAATCAACTCTACCTCTCCTAGAAGACGAACCGGAGCGTTCCTGGACGAATCTGAAGAAGAACGTTCATCAGATGGCGGGAAACCTGCTGGGATTTACAAAACCAGGAAAGGCAAGACTTGAGAAAGAAACTTGGTGGTGGAATGAGGATGTTCAAGCTGTGATCAAGAGTAAGAAGCTCGCATACCAACTGTGGCAGAAGACAAGATTAGAAGACGATCGTCAGAAATATGTAGACGCAAAACGTGCAGCAAAGAAGAGCGTAAGAGAAGCGAAGGAAGCGTACATAGCAGACTTCTACAAGAAGCTGTAACTCGAGAAGGCGAACGTGATATCTACCGAATCACAAGGAGAAGAGCAAAAGCCACAGAAGATACAAGCCACTTCTACAACATCAAAGACGAGTACGGAAGAATTCTAAGAAGTCCAGAGAAGATAAGCGAACGATGGAGAGCACACTTCGAGAGAATAGCATCTACAAGCTACCAAATGTCATCTACCATAGTAGCTGAGACGGTACAAGGACCGGTAGAAAACATCACAGAAGATGAAGTTCGCGCAGCCATAGCGAAGACGAAGAACGGCAAAGCAACCGGCCCAGACGACATTCCCAGTGAATTCTGGAAGAGGTGCGGACAAGCTGGACACTTGGCTAACACAGCTTCTCAATCGGATAATCGAATCCAAGAAGATGCCGCGCGATTGGTCCAAAAGCACAACGATTCCAGTATGGAAGAAGAAAGGAGACATAGCCGATTGTTTCACATATCGTCCCATACGTCTAACGAGTCACACGCTGAAGATCTTCGAACGAATACTAGAAACGAGACTCCGAAGCATCATAGAACTAGCTCCCAATCAGTGTGGATTCGTGAAGGGCTGTAGCACAACAGATGCCATCCATACCGCCAGAATAATGATAGAAAGAAGCAGGGAGAAGCAATGTGAACTACATGCGGCGTTCCTTGACCTGGAGAAGGCGTTCGACAAGGTACCACACGACATCATATGGTGGGCACTACGAAAGCACAAGGTGCCAGAAGAGTACGTGCAATGGACGAAGATGATCTACAAGAATTCCACTAGCCACGTACAGACAGCAGCGGGACCGACGAAAGAATTCCAGATACGAGCCGGCGTACACCAAGGCTCTGTACTCGCACCGCTCCTGTTCAACACAGTCATAGATGCAGTGGTCGACGGCTTCATACGACAACCACCATGGACGCTCATGTACGCAGACGATGTTCTCCTACTGGCAAGAAGCAGAAGAGAGCTCCAGATGGAAGTGCAGAAGTGGAAGGATCAGCTTGAGATGCATGGACTGAAGCTGAAGCTGAACATGACGAAAACGGAGTATATGGAACTGGGAACACAGACACCCGGGACAATCCAGATCGGAGACACGCAACTCAAGAAGACCACCTCCTTCAAGTACCTGGGAAGCCCTATCTCCGCAGATGGCAACCTCCGCGATGAGATAAGCAGTAGAGTGAACGCAGCATGGATGAAGTGGAGAAGTCTCACAGGAGTCCTATGTGATAAGCGGATGCCAAGAAAGCTGAAGTCCCTGATATATCGCACGACAGCTCGACCGACGGCCCTATACGGATGCGAATGCTGGCCATGTACACGTGACGAAGAAAGAATGATCAGCGTAATGGAAACACGAATGCTGAGATGGACCACAGGAGTGACGATGCTAGACCATGTCCCGAATGACACTATACGAAGCGTAATGAAAGTGACACCCATTGTAAAGAAGATGCAAGAAAGACGTCTACAGTGGTATGGACATGTGAGCCGAAGAGAAGAAAGCCACATTACGAGATTGGCCATGTCAGTGGAAGTGCCAGGGAAGAGACCAAGAGGAAGACCTAAGATGAGATGGCTGGATAAAGTCAAAGCAGATATGAGAGAGCTTGGTATAAGAGAAGAGCAGGCCTTAAACCGAGAAGAATGGAAAAGATTGACGAGAGCGGCAGACCCCGAATGACGGGAGAATGCAAGGATAAAAAAAAATAAATCTTCACTCGTCATTTTTATCTGCTCAAAGTTAGGCTAATTTTTAAAAATTTCATTCCAAAGTTTTGGAAAAGACTAAGCATGGCACAAATAAATTAATTCTCGGGCTGTACGGTAATATTTTTAGATTCTCCTCAAATGCTGTTTCTAGCTTTAGAGAATTATTTTTTCGGAGGTCTCGATTTCTGGCAAAACCATGGAAAGCGTAGCTGCGGCAAAAACATAAAAGCTTTCGGAATTTTTGCGAATTGAAACTTGACTGCTGATAAACAATAATTATGCAACAATTCCAAGTTTTTGCTTTTAAAAATCAGCTTTTTGGAATTTTTGGTAATTTTACGTGGTAGACGTAATAAAAAAGCCGCGGTTTTTCTTAAATAAGTAATATTTAGGACTTGACAAACGTGACCCATGTATTCTAAAATAAGTATAATGCAGCCGAAGAATGGCTCTATATAACAGTTATTAGCGATTTTTGAAAGTACTAGGAGAAAATTTTTTAAAATTCGGAAAAGATTTGGCGTTACTGCTGAGCTGCTCAATAAGTCATGGCGATAACATTGCGAAGACAGGTTAGATCAGAGAACAAACATAGCTGTAAGAAAGAGGATGAAAATCTGAATCAGATGATACCTAGATCTTCCTTGAATTATTGTTCTGTAGGTTTTAGTGAGCCATGGAAAAAACCGACAAAACTTTCGGAACAACCTAATATTAGGTTGTCCCAAAAGTAAACCGTATTTCTAAATAAATTGAGCTGTTTTTATTTTCCTAGTAGATTTAAGGTATTATTCGATAGAGCGGAAGCTCTACAAAATTGTCGCAAAAGTCCCGCCTATGTCGTAATCCAGGTAAAGTTTGGAGCAAAAATCGGAAAAAATTTGTTACCGGAAAGCTGGATTTTTGCGAATATTAATCGTGCGGAGCTCAAACTTGGTCATTATACAGTAGACATATATCAGGCCGTTTCAAAAGTAATTTCGCTTTTTCAAACAGGCGCCACATTTGATGGAACATTCGATGCAGCATTCCATTCTCTTTCTAATAGTTATGGAATTGTTGCAAAACATTCAATGAGCTTTCAGAGAATAACCAAAATCTGCGACCCATGCTTTTTGAGATGGTCAAGTTTCAGAAGCTTTCGTGTCAATCCTCAGAGGAAGATCAAGTAAGGATTCGATAGAGTAAACCTTATAGAATGCAGTACTACTTTTTTCTATTTCTCTTAGCTCGCCGTAATTTTTTAAAAGATTTTTTAACAGAATCATCGGATTTTGGCAGGCCTACCTCAGCTGCAGTCGCATCAAACATCATAATTTTTCGGAATTTGAGACTACCAAATGGTACTATGAGTTAGCCTAATTTTTCAAAGCAAGTGAGAGTTTACGGGTTCGAAATATCAAATTTCGAGTTTTTCGGGTACAGCCTGGGGCTTACTAAAAAAATGAGTTATGTTGACTTCTTCCTTGAAACTAACGACTCGGAAACAAAAAACACCTGTTAGAAAGAGGAGAAAATGCTGCATCGAATAGTGCGCGAGCTGCTCTTCTTTTGATGTTCTACGAGGATTTAGCTGCCCAAGTACGGAAATCGGTAGCATCAGTTAAAATTCTGTTGAAAATGTATGACAAGCTATGGAAAGGAGACAAAAGTAGTTTTGCATTCTGTAGGGTTTGCTCTATAAAGGCGTTACTTGCACTTTTCCGGAGGGTTGATATAAAAGTTAAAAAAAAATTGTCAAACTTGACTATCTCAAAAAGCATAGGACGCAGATTTTGGTTATTTTTTGAATCATTGACTGTTTTGCAACAATTTCATAATTATTAGAATGAAATTGAGAATGAAATTCTGCATCGAATGCCTCTAAGATCTCTTAGAAACCTTTGTTCCGTCACATGTGGTGCCCGTTTGAAAAAAGCGAAATTACTTTTGAAACGACCTAATATTAGTAATCAAATATGCCTTTATCGGATTTTTTCCAAGCTCAGAAAGAGAGAAAAAGGAGATAGTCTGAAAATGGCAAACTCCGCCCCCCCCCTCCGCCCCTCCCACATATGTCAGTCTGAAAATGGCAAACTCCGCCCCCCCCCCTCCCGCCCCTCCCACATATGTCATTGTGTACTACAAGCCTTACTAAGCATAATATCATAACTTTTTCCTGTACGTCCTCTTATAATGGAGAAATACCAAGTTTTACATGAAAAACCGAAAAAGGTGGCATTTCGGCATTTTCGGACCATCTTTTTCTCTCAATTTTTAGCTCCGCAAAAAATCCGAAAACATTTTTGGGTAGCACTATGTGTCTACTATATATAGACCAAGTTGGAAGTCCGTAGGAGTTTTCTGGAAGAAGATCCGATTTTCAGGATAGCTGAAAATTTTTGATTTTTGGATCCAGATTCAGAAATACGGTTTACTTTTGGGACAACCTAATATTAGCCTCTGAAATTAGAATGGTTCAAATAGATCCTCTCATCTTCTCAGTGTACCTCAAGTAGATTGTGTGTTCAGCTCGACTGGGCTGACTGTGAGGGAAATACAGCACTTCACCTTGCTGCATTCAAAAATGCAAACATCTGTGCTGTAACTCTGCTGAGGAAGGGAGTCAGCGTAACAGTCAAAAACAAGGTGAGCTATGAGCCAATCATAATTGCAGGAGCAGTCCAGCACCTGGCCTTTCTCTTTGAAGTCCAATTGCTGTAGTAAAGATGCAGCCTTCTACGCTTGAGAAATTGCTCAATTTGACACTTTTGTTTGGGTCTCAGTTCTCCCTTCATACTAGGCCATAACCATAAGTTCAACTGCACTACAAAAAAATCTTCATAGCTTTCTTTAGAAAATTTTTCCCTCTTCTTGATTTATATGGAGGGTTGTAGCTATTCGATTACATACATTTACAACATGAAAATCCAAGTTTTCAAAAATGGTTAGAAATTCAACGCTTGTTTTGACAAATTTCTATTTGCCTTCTTTAGAAGCTTAAACTTCCTAAATTTCTTCATCACGTTAATGTTCGCCGAAATTCTTCAAAGATATCCAAAAATGTGAAAAGGAAGAACGTGAAAATTTTTTGCCATCACAGAATTGCCTTTGTATTTAGCTAATTCATATATTGAAGGTGAGAATGATGCTAATGGAGACCCCCTCTCTTTTTTCTCAAGTGTCAATCATGAGGCTGTGCCGAAGTTTCTAGTGTTAATGGAAGGTCAAGGAAGTTACACGAAACTTTGCGAAATACTTCGAGTAAAAGTTTTCTGCTATGCAGCAATGCAAACTATGCCAACTTTGGAGCTTTTGGTATGTTGTTTTGATAACAAATTACTTCGTTTTAGAAGTTGCTTTCCACGAGATGTTGTGTTGAAGCATTCGAATGATTCTTTTTGTAGACAATCAATACCGTTCTTTTGAACTGGGTCGCATTCATGCCTGCCTCATCGAGCTTCTATTCTTCCTCATTTCTTCCCCTTCACTCGAACATGCAAAACCTTTGTAATTTAGGATGGAAATTCGCCGTTAGCGGTAGCTGTCCTACATGGAAGGCAGGCTGTAGCATTGACTCTGATTCAAGCGGAGAGCAATGTGACAGATAAGGTAAACAATGCGCTCCACTTGAATGGTTTTTGGAATTTGTGAATTCAGGTGTATCCGCCAAAACCCGCCCAGCTACACATAGATCTCTGGAAATGGAAGGGTGCAATTAAGGAGAAGGATGAGAATAGAATCTCAACGATACCAGCACAAATTGTTGCAAGAGGAGGCGGATGGGAAGCGATGGTCTACGTTTTGATGGATGCTCTCGGGACGGTATGGAGCCGAGTAGAACTCTGGAAGCTTTTACAGATTCGTATTTTTTAGGACTTGACTTCGTTGCTACAAATGATCGATGCATCACTAAAAGAAAGACAGTATAACTTGGCAAATCAGTTAACAAAGTCACTGCAAGCACGAATGTTAGGCAAAAAATTGCCAAAGAGCGATTACCACCTGCTATTGACATTTGCTGAGCATTTTAAAGGTGTGTCGCTACCTTGGAACATTTTTTACCCTCGCTGCTGAAGTTACAGGTGAAATTGCTGACGACAGTGTAGAGCATGCGGTCCTTCAACGTCTCTACGCTTTGGGTGAGGAAGTGATTACTGATGGTGTCAGCTTACCCTTGGAAGCAGCTATCCTCAATGGACAGTGGGCGCTTTACAACCACTTCAGGGTAGCGAAACTCTCCTTCAAAAAATTCTGCATTTTATTTTCCAGAGTGAATTTTTAGGCACGTGCTGGTAAAGCTTGGGCCACTCTTCGTCCTTCTCAGCCTGCGTTGGGACCGCTCAGAAATGTTGTGGTTCGCATGTCCAGGAATAAAGAGGACTTTGCAATCACTGCAATGCAGGAACTTCTTTCTCTACCTCACTTCAGGTGTGTAATATTATGGGACAGTAGCAATCTCCTCCATCACTTGAAGTTGGGGGTAAGAAACAGCCGAACTAGGTTTTGACTTCTAGACGTTGATGAATATTGCTATGAAAACCATCGTTTCACTCAGCGCAGCTGAAAAAAATATGCCAAAATAAACATACAATAACATCTTATATATTTCATATATAAGACATTATTGAACAGTTTTCAACATTTTAAGCGCATTTTTAGGGACAAGATTTGATGATTTTCAAAGTCAGCAAGTCAGCAAAATCTGCCCCGACATTTCTACCAAAGGTTACCGTAATCCGGCATGAACGGCAAACTATGTTGTTACTGTAAATTTTTGGCACCCCCAGGAATTGATGAGGCGGGCGAGGAATAGTAGCGATTTGAGGCGGGCACATCCTTTGGGATACCTTTGATGAACGTTATAATGAGAATAATTTAACGTGCACAAAGCCCCCAGCGCCTCAGTATTTCTGTTTCGTAACAGCATCACATTACATCACTAAGAGTTAAAGAAGGTATTGGGTGTCTTCATTTAGTTCTGCGGACTCTCACGTACAAGACATAAATTCAAACCGATAAGTTTTACATGTATGCCCTTTTACTGTAATGTTGATTTGCAGCATCAACGAGCCCATGTCTCTCCCATTGTCGTACGATCTCACTGAAGCATCTCTGTCCACGCTTCCTCCAATCGCTTGGGCTGCAACGCTAGACGAGCCGAACCTAGTGCTCCTGTTACGAACAGCTGGAGCAGATGTTAACGCCACTGACTTAGAGGGTCGCACCCCGCTCATGATTGCTCTTTTGGCAAATAAGGTCGATACTGTACAGGTACATACATCAGTCCCGCGAAGTACCGAGAATCACTCTTGCTTTCTATTCAGGCACTATGTGGTGACGGGGTCTTGCGTGATAATGAAGTTGCAAAGAAGGTTCCGAAGATGCCAAAAAACCCTGGCACCCGTATGCTGCTCGGTGCATTCCTGGCGAAAGGTAGAAAGAGGAAAGCACCCGAAAGTGAGAATGACGAACGAGCTGAGAGCGAGGATGGATCCCAGGAAGGAACGCCTAGAGCAGATTCAATCAGTGGAGCCGATGAAGAAGAGGATAACGACGATAATCAGGGGGACACCCCACCTCCAAAGAAAACAAAGTTAGCTAACAAGAAGGTACTAACTGAGCGTTTCGTCCTTCTCCTCGATGATGTTCAAAATTGCGTGTTTCAGCTGGATCTGATGGCTTCTGACCGCAGAGGGAGGAATATAATGCACTATATGGTTGCTCCAATCCAGTGGGAAAATGTGGACCTTTTCTTTCAGCTTCACAGCGAAGCTCCGGCTAAGATCAAGCAACTGTTGCAGCAGAAAGACAAGGTAGTCGTTTTCGGCTTGAACTTGTTGCCAAAAAGATTATTCCTTAAGTCAAACATATAAAAGAAGAAAAAAGGTATAATTTCTGCAACAACATGCTAAAGAGTCCCAAATTGCAACTTTCTGGCGATCTGCTGAAAAAGTGCAGAAATAAGGGTTTTTTTCCTGCGAAGCGACATTTTTTACGAACTTTTTTGTTTATGTACCCAGTACCTGGTTCCACTCACAGGCGATGAGAAACTCTAGGTAAATGAGTACTTGATTCCAAACCTGCTTTATTTTAGGAAGGCAACACGCCATTAGAAATCGCTATTAGAACGAAGCAGCGCAGGATGGCTAATGCAATGAAGTCCGTGTTGGGCGCACCAACCAAGAAGCAGAAGATCACCAATGGGTATGTGATCAGTCTTCGATTATAGCTTAACCAATCTATGTGTGTAGGCATAGGCTATTTAAATCTATTTTCTTCTTTTGCATAGAGTGAGTTTGTCGCGTGAGATATTGCCCAATGGAAGTCCTCAACTTAAAATTTTCTCGCTTGCCTTGTTATTCGGCACGCTGTTCCGAGAATTCATCTTGAATGCGCGAAAATGGCGAAAAAGGGCAGTCGCTCAGCCCGTGCATCCGAATTGGGACGAGTATGACACAAGGTAGAAAACGATGGGGGGGGGGGGGGGGGGAATAGCGAAGGCAACCGAACACGGAAGGCGGAGAGGGGGGAGGGAGTGGATGGTGAGGGGAGGACAACCTTTCATACTGAAGTGCTGAAGACATATCAATATCATATTGCAAAATCTGCTTTAATCTTCGTTCAGACCGTTACCGAGCGGAACAATGAGAACAATTGTCGAGTGCGGTACTTGGTACCTCAAAAAGGGCATGATATGCTTTCAGATTTTCTGTGTCGGATCTACCCGACGTGACAAACTTGGCGTGTGAGTTCGATATCGATGCGGACTCGAAGGCATACATTGAACGTTGGATAGTTGAGCACGATACCGACAGCGAACCAGAAATTCCGAAACCCTCAAAAATGAGCGGCTACAGCGAAACGGCCGATCTTGTCCGAGATCCTATCACTCAACAAATTATGGCTGTAAGTTTAAAATTCGTAAACAATCATTTCACGACTCTCCATCACCACCCCAATTTTTGCAAGCCCGCACCCAAGATTTTGAGCCAAAAGTTAAAAGAGATTTTTATTATTCGTATCCCTCCTTTTACGTGCAAGGGAAGGATTATTGAAAGAATTGTATCTACAGGGGTCTCGTCTAAGGTCCGCATGCACTAACCTCCCCGCTGGGGAGGGGATCGCAACTTAAAAGAAAGCTTTGTATTTCGAGACTCCAGATACCTGGATTTCACGATTTTACCTGGATTTTGTGTACCTATCCGTAAGTATTCCTACTACCCTTCACTATGAACATGTTGAAGAGGAGCGGGAAGCTGCACGAACCACATTTTCCAGCTTTTGTATGATCCCTGATGATCCCCGGCGCTTTTCTTTGAAGTCATTTTTCTTTCTACGAAGGTAACGAAAACTTTCCAAAACTGTACTGAACATCTAACACAACAGTGCTAAGCGTTGCTAATGAGAACAAATGAGTTTTTGAAAAGTCGAATCTTTCGGTAAACCTCAAATTTCGACCTGTGGATCATCGAATATTTTATGACTTCAAAACATCATTTGTTCTTATCACGAACATGCTTAGCACTGTCGGGTTAGATAATCTGCACAACTTTGGAGGTTTTTCGTTAACTTCGAAAAAAGAAAAATGACTTTAAAGAAAAGCGCCGGGGATCATCAGGGATCATACAAAAGCTGGAAAATGGTTCGTACAGCTTCTCGCTCCTGTTCAACATGTTCATAGTGAAGGGTAGTAGGAATACCTACGGATAGGTACACAATGTGAAATCTATTTATCTGGAGTTTCGAAATATAAAGATTTCTTTTAAGCTGCAATCCCCTCCCCGTGGGGATGTTAGTGCATGCGGCCCTAAGTCGTGCACTTAGCCACTTTATTTTTTTAGGCTGTACTTAACAAAACTGATCTCACCTATGGACGATATGGCTTCCACAATTTTTATCGTATTGAGCTGATGAAGCGACGTGACACAGATTTATGGATTCTGTTTACCAACTGGGGTCGAATAGGTTCAGGCGATGGCGAATTCCAAACAACACCTTTCAATAACATAGATGCTGGTAGGCACATGCTTTTCTGCTTTATTTTCACTCCTTATAGTTCCAAGTATTCTAGCTTTCAAAGAATTCAAGTCGGTGTGGCGGTCCAAAACGGGTCAGGATTGGGGACCATTCGATAACTTCCAGACTCTTCCGAAAAAGTATAAGCTTGTTGAGGTGGGATAGTTTGTATATTAATTATTTCTACTGCAAACCGCATCTTACTTAGTAAGATGTGAAGGTCCCCCCCCCCCCCGGTTTTCTCCCATATCCGCATTTTTATGTACTCTTTCAATCTTAGCACATGTGATTGGAGTGAGTTCCTGTGGAAGGAAGGTTTTATATGATTTTTAGTAGCTTGAGATTTTTTGAATTGACATATCGTAAAAATCAAGCTGTCAAGCTAATAGGTTACAAACCAATTCTGCGATTTTTGAAATAGCAAAAAATAGCATTATATCGATTTTGATGTTTATTGTGTTTGTACTTGTTGTAGACAACGAAGCGAGTCAGCAACTTATCTGAAATCGACATTCCTTACGAGGAGAAGAAGGAAGAGGATGTGGTTCGTAGGGCCATTCAAGACCTCAGCAATGTCAAAAAGTTAAAGGACTATGCCAGACAGGTATAGTTATACATTCCTCATCTCATGTTTCATCAACTTGAGGTCGCTCAACCTTCTCATAGTCGGCTCAATAATGCTAACGTTCGTCTTGTATTTTTTGAGAATACTTTGGGGTCTTGAATGCGACGAGGGAAGGGGGTGGTGAGGGGGGGACGTATGAGATGGAGGAAGCTGGCCGTCACTGACAGGCGAGAAGCGCGGTGACTTATTACTTTCGGGTACAGGTAAAGGGCAGTCTTTGCGAGATGCGTAATGCTGATGTGTACACGATGTAGTAGTTGTATTGTAGTGCCCTACTTAATCATGAAAATAAATTGAAACATAATGTTGAAAAAATCGTACTAGTAGCACAAACAACGGGATTTTGGAAGCCGAAATTGTTTAGCATCTCATCATAAACTATCAATTAAAAGCAAGGCAGAAACAAAGTCAACCTGCAGCATGCTTTGGTAGGGCCTCTGAAGAGCAGGAGTCCATGTCTTGCAGCAACTTTCCAGGAAGGAAGGAAGAGGTTTGTAGGACGTTGATTTGAAAAACAAAGTTTCCTTTTGTTTTGATAGAGACATATGATGCAGTATCAAAGAAGCTGTATCGGAATAGTTCGAATTTGTAAAGAAAAAATCCCGCCGCCAGAAAAGAGGCCGTCAATTCAAAGGATTTCATCATAACGCAAATTTTTCTAAAAGTAGTATGAACTGGAAAGATTTTTGAAGATGAGACAAGGCACAAAGTAGACACTAAACAAATCTCAAAGTCCATATTAAAGACACTGTTCCATCGACACTGCTCTATCGAAGATTGTTCATACTTTGAAACCGCTTTCGATTTTTCTGCGTGATGTCAGATCAAACCTTACTTGAAAAGGCCGAAGTTTTTGTTCAATTTCTCTCTTAGTTGGATTTGCTGGAAAACTTTTAAAGTTAACAAAAGCAGTCTCTAGGGCCCGTATATGCACTATGGACCCTTCATAATATCGTAACGACGAACCCGATTGCGGTTTTTGCGCCCACCAATTTTTGCAAGAATAAACAACCAATTAAGAGGCATCACTATAATGTCACATCCAGTTTCTGAATGATATGCATGCAAAACAAAACGATTTCGGTGAACAGGGAACCAAGAAATGCGGTTCCAACAATGCGTAAGCGACAGGCCGCTGCGCCGTCGTCATTACTTTATGAAAAACCCTTCCGCTGGGGAGGAAAGAGAAAAGCTGAGAAAGCACGGGTCATATCTTGTTGATCCTTTGTCTACCTTTCTTACTAGACGCTACGACATTCCCGTTCATAAGATGGAAAAACAGAGGAGAGTATAGATATACTGAGCACCAAGATGTGAAGCGTCTCTTTACAGCTTCCCTCTCCCCCTCTCTTCCCCCCCCCCCCTCCTACTTCCCCAGCGCATGTATGTACGAGCAAAAGGGGGCTAGAGTAGTTTCACAAACGTTTAGGGACGTGTTCAGAATGTAAGAAGTGTATTGTAGAGTACCTTTATTAGTAAGCAATTTCCTTCACATGTCGTATATAGAACTGGAGGAAGCGTAGTGCATCAGTTTGAACAGATGATTCAATGCCACAACACAAGTTTTCTTGAGGGCTCTGAATTTACTTTTTGAAGATCAATTGGGACGTTGCCTGTCCATTTGGTCACATAACCGAGGAGGCCATTGAGCGAGCTCGTGCAGTGCTTGAGCAGTGCAAGCAGAACGTCAAGGACCTCAACGCAACTCTTTCGCGCGAAGGCCATACTGACGTTGATGTACTGCAGGTTTTCGATAAGAGCGTGAGTTTACGCTTTCACATCCCTCACACGTATCTCATTTGCTGTTCAAGAAACCCCTAAGAGTGTGAGTCTCTAGACAACTTTAGCTCTCATTTTTGGCGGAAAAGTTGTTATTCAAAAGTAAAAGGAAGAATGCAAAGAACTGCTCTTTATGAAGAGGCGGAGGGTGTGCTGTCCATCAAGCGCTTTTTTATACCATTGAAATTTTCATTTTTCTTCGACACTAGTGTTGAGGCTGTTCGTTGTCTGAACTAGAAAAAGTTTCATCTAACCAGATGAAGCCAGATGCCGCCAAAAACGATCTGCACAATAGCAAAGTCGATCACATCCCAAAGGGAAGCGATTTTAGTTGAAGTGGCATTTTTCAGCGAGACTCATACAATTTTGAAGAGCGTTGCACGCTGGCTCCAAATCTGCCAAGCGCCAATGTACGCTGAGTTATGACTGTTTTTTGGAACGAAAAATAAATGCCGAATTGAGTAAAGTCAATTGTTACAATCTTTTCAGCGCTGAGATAAAGCATTGTTGAGTATTAGCATATTGGACAAAATGTATCCATTGCTTGAACTGCTCTGATACTCGACAACGGACCATTTGAGCAAATGTGGGCGATTTTGTTCCATTTTTGCGTTCAATTTTTTGACTCAAACGCCCATAGCGTCCAGAGGCACTTGGCAGATAATGAAGGCAGATTTGGAATCAGCGGTTAAAAGCAGCGTACACCCAAAGTCTAAGTTACCCAATTCTCTATACCGTGTATATCTAGAGTCTAGAAGAAGACCAACTGCATTGGTCCGGTCTTCCAATGTTGCTTCTGAACGGAGAAAATCCGCCTGATTTTACTTTCATTCCGCCGCTTTTCTTTCACTCCTCCTCCTTCGGACGAAATCCACGTCAGCGTAAGCCGCAGCTGCCATTTTGCCGTTGCAATGCTGTTGCAACTGCAACTGCAGTTGCAACAATGCAGTTGCTTTTTGCGGTCCGCCTTCTTCAGACGACGAATCCACGATAACATACGTTGCAGTTGCACGCAACTACAGTGTCATGCAGTTGCAGCTGCTCCTCGCTGGCTTGCCGAACGCGGTCGAGCAATTTGAAACTTGCCCTCCCTTTGAAGAGAGGGTCCCGGAAATCGGGGTTTTTTGGGAGTTTTGGAGGATTTTAATGTCATAACTGTAATCAGGGGCACGGAAAGGCCCCAGAATGACAAAAACATCGAAGGCAAAATTTTGGGTGTACGCTGCCTATAATGCTCTCCAAAGCAGTATGGGTCTCGTCTGAAAGGGCCACTTCGACCAAACTCGCTTCCCTTAGCTTTGGTTGCAGCTTGAAAGATATTCCTGCTTAACAATGAAAGTGATGGAATTTGTGAAAAATTTCTGAAAAACAACAAGCTCGCATTTCTATTGATCTTCTGCTCCAGTACTCTGCAAGAAAAATTGGCTTTTCTCTTACAGCGGACTCTTACTGCACAGTTTTACGAGAACTTCCCCGCTGGCAATTTCGCATATGGTGCTATCGAGATTCTGGACAACGTAAGTGTATCTTATGCTTGCTAACGAATGTCATTTTTTCAAAGTTGGTAGTAACCCTGCCATCTCGTAACATTTTCATTGGGAGATTAGGGCATTGAGTTTTATTGAACAACAATTTATAATTTGCGAAAATGAAGCTTGAAAACGGAATATTTGCTAAACTCTGGAATTCTAAAAAATTAATACGAACCTCCCACCATTTTCTTTATCAAGGATGACCATATTCGGAAGGCCCAATCTGCACTGAACCGATTGACTGAAGTAGAGGTTTCCACAAGAATCCTTACTGCAGCAGCTCAACATCCAGAGCTTGACCGTTTGAGGTAAATTAACTTTATTCAGTATATATGCTCTCTTTACAAATTTTCAGCTTCATCACTTCTGCGCTAGAATGTGGTTTTACGGAAATGAAACCAACAGATGAGATGAGCCAAATGATCTTGAGGTACATCCACGTCACGGGTGAACATTCTGCCAAAGTCAAGGTAACCTCAGGTTATATAATTATGGACTATTGTTACTACCAGATGACTATTTTAGACTATAATCTCCTTATCGCCAAGGACCGCCACTTTGAATTTTGAAAAGTTTGTGGATGAAGAAAATCAGAAGTTTGTAGTAATCTAAAGTCATACCTTCATCTTCTGCATGTCCTCCGCTTCAGATTTCTTTGGCACGGGACAAAAGCTGTTAATTTGCTAAGTATCCTCAAAGATGGTTTCCTCGTTGATCCACATAACACATCTATTACCGGAAGACTTTTTGGTGATGTGAGTTTTTGGCTATTTTTGATATCCTACTGAGACCTATTAAATCTTTGCATCACAATTTGCCCTATGCAAGTTCTTAGATAAATTAAACTTAACTATAAGTAAATGCGATTTTCCTCAATTATTCTGAAGAAGGCAAAGAACGTAGGTTTCTTCTTCTTTTTGATGATATCTTGACTACTTTGCACTCAAATTTCTATTGAAAAGAATGAGATTTTTTTGAATTCCCTCGCCATCAAGGAGTTACTCAAAAGATATAAGAAAGTTCGTTCTCATGTTTTTCTCCCGAGTTCTCGCTTTTCTCTCTCACGTTTTTTTTTGAATGAAGTTCAATTTAGGGTATCTACCTCTCGGACGCTTTTCAAAAAAGTGTGAATTACTGCGAAGCATCGGCCAAACACTGCAGATATATGCTTCTCTGTCGAGTATGCCTTTTTACTTTGGTAAACTACTTAAGTTATGTTATCATTCCAATTATTGTTTCTAGGTTGCACTGGGCAAAACTTTCACGTTGAAATCCTGGGATTATTCAGCGAATGAAGTGCCGCCTCAGTACGATTCCTTACATGTGATTGGTCGGAGATATCCGAAAACGTCTATCACAGTAAATGGTATGGTAACTTTTACTACTGGTTCAGTAAATTCACATAGTGTGCGAGTGCAAACGGTGTCATATTGCGCGTAACCTGTTGTTTGTTTTGTGCACATCAGTGAAAAAATGTTCGCCTTATATGTTTTCTTTTTACTTAGAAAAACAAAAACCAGTAAGATGCTGAAAGGGCACTTGCCCGACAGAAATTCGTCGCTGCAATTTAAGATCTAGGATCTTACGTAAATATGGGTTGTGTGTGCATTCGCACATATTAGGCAGCTCCTAAAGCTGTCCGGTGCTGGTGTTGTGCCAGCGTCGTACCAGCGCCGTGCTGGAACCCACATAGATCGCTATTGATCTATCGACATCCACCTCGGCGGTAGGCGCTGCATGTCGCTGACGCGTGCAACTCTGGACACAATCTTCCGAGATGACTTGACCCTACAAAGGCTATTTATTCCTAAGAGTGATCGCAAAATTTCAGGAGTTGCTATGCCAATGTGCGATTTTGGTGACCATTCCCGTGATCGCTATGTGTCACTCGAACATTCCGAATATATCGTTAGAGACAGCACAAGGATTCTGCCGCAATATCTCGTAATTTTCAATGCGAGCGGTGAGGAACAACGGCGGTCATTGTGGCAGATCGCCCCGTGATCTCTAAAATTGACTGCTTTGAAGATCTTTGATCTCTGTTTAATAACTTTGCAGGATTGACTTACGCAATTTTTATTCTATTGTAGCATGTAACCACCAGATCTATCCCGTTTAGAATCAGTTTGAGTTAGTTTTATTTATAAGAAAGCTGTGTACATTCTACAGGATTGGCTGTTCCAAAAGCTTTTCCGTTCTTTCAGAACAGTTCAATTTTGAGCAAAATACTTCCAAGGAATCAGAGATTCCAGTGTTTTTCGCTGCAGTGGTGTCACTTAAAAAAGTCAAAATTTTGATATCTTTCATATTACTGAAAGCTGATTAAGTCAAATGAATGTAGTATTTATCAATAAGACCCCATCTGAAGGAATGCATTTTGGTTTTTTACTAGGATCTAAAATGTAGAGAAAATAGAGTCAACATGATGAATTGCATGATTAGTTGAAGACGTCGATACTGCTGGAATTGTGGCCAGTGGCTGCGGAGAGGTAAAAAAAACGACCAAGGCGTTCCTCATGCTTACTAAATTTTGTGATCAAATAAGGAAAAAACTGACTATATTGAGATGCTAAGAATCAGGCTCTTTACTTATTCTGGACTGACTTATGTTTGTGTTTTGATCATTCTCAAGTGCGCAAGACTATGAACATTCTGCTCTGTGTCACTATTATTTTTACTTTTCTTGTTAGTATTGTTAGCAGACCCTGCTGAAAGCTGGGCTCTGTTGTTATCGCATCATTCAGAGGAGGGGTGGCTTATGACCCCATGTTTTTGTTGTAGTAAAAAGGCTCCCTAGGGCATGACAATTGTGATTAAATACTTGTTCACGCTAAGCAACGCTTGAGGTTGTTTGAGGTTTTTCATGAAATCTGGTTTAACTGTAGTTGTCAACATTATTTAGTAGTGTTCGTCTAGTTCTGATGCTGAGTATATTTATTATATCTTTGTTAATGTAACTCTCACTCACAATTTATCCTTACGCTTTATGTTTTCCACCAAAGTCGTGTTCTATATTTGGCTTCAGATCGTTGTCGTTTGCGCTTCTTTATGAATCGATGTTATGTACTGTTATGAGACATTTGTTCCAAAGCATCTGTTTGCTCTTCATTCCCATTGTTGATAGAGTGATTGGTAATCCGATGTCACCTATTTCCCTTGTCATCGTCCCGGTGTTGAATAAATTGCATATTTGTTGGTTCAATGTTGATGTTCACTAATTATTCGCGAGATAAATATTGCTTAGTCTGACTGAGTTGCCATCGGACATGGTATATTGTTAACACTGGAATTTTTACTCTCCACGTCCGAACTGCGTAACGCAATGCTCTTCAGACGCAAACTGGCTGATTTGTGATAATCTGTCCAACAGTTACTGAATGAAACTCAAAGACTTCATGTGGTATGTTTAACCGGTTCAACTGACCTGGTTTTCTCGTTATAGTGCAGATGTAACAGATTCTGACAGGCCAATATAGAGTAGAAAGACTATTTCAGATGTAAATTTATATGGTTGCTGAGCATTCGGCCCCTCACCTTAAGTGACGATCTCAAGTGTTCTCGGTCAACTGTGCCGGATGAAAATTCAGAATCACAGCTCTCATCATTTGCGATCACGAGAACACCAGATAGAAACATCTGAAAGGTTTTTGTGTTGGCTATGGAACTCAATGAATTAAATGGTGTCTGTTTCCTGCACTGATCTTAAAAAAATAATTAATTTGGTTTTGGCCTTTCATTGACATGTATAAGGTTGAGTCAAAAGTAAAGAGAACTTTTCGCTCCTCATTTCGAACTTTTCAGTGTTTTGAGATAGTGATATAAGACTACCTTAAACTGCATTAAACGTAGCTTTTCCTTTTTTTCAGCAGCCAGGCCAACCGCCCAAATGACTTTTTAGTTGTTGGAAAAATTCTTTAAATTTCAAATCCATCATTTTAGCTTTGAGTGAGCATAGCTAATCCTCAGAATTTTCAGTTTGAGGTCTTTAAGCATGTTTACTTGAAGACAAATCAGGTCCTGCTTAATGCGAAACACATCTTTTGAAACTAGCATTTTGAGATTTTTTGAGATCATTTTTCCAAAAAGCCCTAAATTTTCAAAAAAATCGCTCAAAAGTGAAATGTATAAACCCTACAAAATCTTTTGAAATTGGGAGCTTCGAAAATAGTTACTCGCCAAACCTTGATCTGCAAAGTAATCAAGCGTTTACTGCTTCAAATCACCATAGTCTAGAATTTTTTAACAAGTGCGCAAAACATAGAATTTGAACGGCAAATGCTTGGGGCTCAAAATTTCTGCAGGTATTACAGCAATTTCGAGGAATTTGGTTGGAAATTATAGTTATTGGAAAGAATAAGGGAACCATGTCGAAACCGTTTAGAGCATAGTACTTGCCTGTCTACATTTTACCTATTTAGAAAGGTCTAATAAGGAAGGTGAAGTTCTTATTACTTTTGACTCATCCCAGAAGATGGCGTTGAAATTGAGAATTACAACGCCAATTGTTATTACTAATAGAATTTTCGGGGTAGGTTTTGGTTGAATATATGAAGATAAAATTTGAACTTTTCAAAAACGTTTTCATCCAAGCACAATTGCGATAATAACACTTGCATATTGCTCAAAATGTTTCAATAGTGCCAGAGTTGAGCATCCCTTCACCATTCTGGACCTGATGCTTTCCTTAACTCTAGCAGAGAAAATCATGAATAATTGACGATATCTTGCAGTTGTTGATTTGGTGTGACAGTAGGACTCCGTAAACTTTGAGTTTCATGGAATCGACATTTTCTTTCCATTTCTGCTTTTTTTATGGGATGATCGAAGACGGGTCTGTCTCCCTCACAACAGTGTTTTACCACTACAGCAACCACTAGTTTCCCCACGTTAGGCTCCTGTCTTGGTATGCCTTCTTTCGGCAGTAAAATGGTTCCAGAGACATTTTTCTTCGTGTTTGTGTACAAAAGTACACGCGCCTCCTTCGGGACACGACTAACTGCTGCCAATCGCCGCTCATATTTCAATGGCTTTTATAGAATCGCGTCTCGAATTTCTTACATCTAAACCAATGCCATTCACTTTACATTCAAGGCGTTCATCATATTTTCATCATTTATAAAATGAGTTAGGTCTATTTTATCCCCTTACGGTCTTCTCAATAAAGCTTGCCTCAAACATTGCCCCACCGAAAAAATAATCGAGTATCCTAAGTCTCTTCCATGGGAAATGTTCGGAAGGCATTAAGCCATTTCAGCTCGTATGATCATTTCTCGCCCAAGCTCTCGGCTGTTTTTGGCCATTCCAAAGATTACGGTCCGGGCGAGTTCTTTGGTTTGAATTTCTCGGCTACTGATGAAACATCTGAGCTGCTGCATGGGAAATGACTTACTCGTGGACCAATTAGTATCAATATAAAAATTTTAAGTATTGGATTTGTCTGTAGAACGACTGTAATTTAACAGGAGATGGGGCTTGCCAATGTCGAAACTCTGATTGAATTCGTTAATGGCATTTTTACCACCTTCTTTCCTCGTTAATATTTCTTCACACCAGTCCGAAACTGTGTTTACTTGTCCTCAATCTTCATAATGCAAATGCACAAAACATCGTAGTTCTTCAGGATGCTTCCATTATTGCCTCCGCCAATATCGCATGTAATGAGCTCATCGGAGGCCATCTGGTACCCATCGTTTTTCAATTAGCCAATGTCGTGTGATGAAACCGATGAAAACATGCCGGTCTAGCTTCCTTACTTCTGGCTATTAGCATCAAAGAAGTCTCAAAGTCAAAGTGCCTTTTTCCAGCTTGCTCCTGCTCTCAGAGGAGTGAGCAACAAAGTCTATGGTCACGCGAGATAGGGCCAATTAAGGAAGGATGAGCAGCGCAAAGCTGAGCCGCTATGCATAAGGAGTCACCCGAAAAAGTCATTAGAGAGAAATCGATCCGACTTAATGCCTCACGCTCTCTTCTGTCCCAAATGACACAATCATTTCCGGGAATGACCACATGCCAGTCTCCAGCGTTCAGCTCCTCTTTTGTCACATTCGTCTGTTCACAAGGGGTGGCGAGCAAGAGGAACGATAGCTGGTGAGTGTCAATAACTCGCGCATCTTTTACCGTCATTTTTGTCCCCCAGCACGCAGAAATCTAGAGCATTTCTATTGCACTTTCATTTGAATAGGAGAATGAGACAGATTCTGTTTGCTTGGAAAGAGAGTGAAAATAAGTTATAAATATCAAAAAAAGGGTTGCAAAGGTGAAATTTTGAGTATTTCAAATTTTTCTTTGCAATAACATTATAAAACTGCACTTATCATTGGGCTCTGAGCATAATTCACTAAGTCAAGCATTTATTCCAACTTGACTCAAATTTATAAGTCTGAAATCAGCGGAGTTTGAGGCATATGTTGCATTGTCAGCAGCGGCTGGCAATTGCTATCGTTCCTCTTGCACCACACCCGTTCACAAGCAGTTGTAGAAGTTTTTGGTGTGATAATACTGCTCAGGACTCCTCTTCATTGTTTTTGGATCATGCGCGAAAATGAACAGTTGTTAGGAAATGACAGTGGTTCTTCTAGTCTTGGAGCGAATACGAACTATACATGGTAGTGGAAGTCCAAACAAAAGTCAGAAAAGTTTTTGACGAAGAGACAAGGTGTCAGTCACGACCAAGAAATTTCAAAGCTTTCAAAGTGAATTTGATTCTCAAAATTTTTTTCAAAAATCCTGATCATTTACAAGCAGAGCGATTTGCTCACTCATTGTTATGACTCACTTAGGCTATTTCCGCAAATTTTGCTCCCATATTTAGGAAGCCTGCGAAAGGGCAATGAGTACCTTTGTCAAGATTGCAGTGAAGCGAGTCCAATGGAGTTTGCTCGCTTTCTTTTATTGTATTATGACGTCAATCTCTGAATTTCATTGCGACACAATTTACTGCGACAGTTTTCTCCAAAATACTTAGAAGAGAGCTTTATACTAATAGCGATATAAACAGCTTTCATCTTTGGGGTTTGCCAATCTCAAAGAAAAAAGACTCTGCCATTTTCTTCCTAATATTCACCATGCTGCGATGATAAGTTGCAACTAATCCCATTAAAACATCCAAGTCGCTTACTTTCATTTGACAAAAAGTTTTTAAAATTTGCACACACAATAGCTTAGAGTGAAATCTACATATGTACTAACTGCTGGCTCCACCCTTCCTTAAAAAAAATTTTCTGCTCACCACTAACGTAAAATTGATCCCATTTTCAATAAATCCAGTGTAGCAGGCTCGATTTTGCTTATTTTTACGGATATCGTTCGCTAGGAGGTGCATAGACCGTACAAAGTATTATATCATTACCATTTCAGTGCACTGTTCTGTTTTTGTAACTAGCACATTAGACTACACAATAGTTTGCCATGTATTTTGAATCATGGCAAACTATGTGTTGATTCCCTTAAATGCAACATTTTATCATGACAAGCACGTGATTTTGTTTTCTAAATTCCAAATCCTATGCATGGATAATCTTTTGATAGTGTAACTCGCTGGCAGAATCCTAAATCCCTATAATCAACAAAATCGCAAAACTGTTTCGAAATTCTCACTAATGTTCGTGGCGCAGAGCTAGCATTATCAGACTGGGAGAATGCCAGTGGCTCTTCTTTGACTTCATCTCTACATACTCGTCGTTGCTAACAACATTCATAGCTTTGCTTTTCTGTTGGTGGCCTTTCCTGTGGCACATTTTTCGCATATTCGTAGAAGCTCAAAAACTATCACATGTCTACGTCATATGGGTTTGCAACCTCTTTTCGATTTTATTACCTGGCCTACTCTTTTTGCATGCACTTTCCCAGTATTGAGAACTTATTGCTTTATGTATGTGAATGTTGATTGGACACCGGATTCAATATTGTAACAATAATTTATGCTCAAATTTGTTGAGTATAATAAATTAGCGCTTGTCAATTATGTAAAGTTCGAGTAGATCAAGAATAATCGAATAAGTTAGCATTTTGATTTCTATTCCATAGTTCATAGTAATATTACTAAAAAGATAGAATAATCGCGAAATAGCTTTTAGCCCTCCCCCCCCCCCCCCTCCCTCCCCAAGCACCGCCACTGCTTTTAGCTGAACAAACATGAACCTTTCCAATTTATAAACTTTTACTCCTAATCATATATTTGCAACATAAACTTTTACTTCTAATCAAATACTTAAAATGCTTTCAAATTTTCAAGGTAACAATCACTCAAGAAAAACGGCCATTTTATTCGAATCAAGAATGAAATGCATCCTCTTCGAGAAATGACCAGTTTAGACTTTCAGCAATGCCTGGGTCAATTTGACATTGATTTAAACGATCTAGATGTATAAAACGCTATTAAGCAGAAAATCATTCTTTCAGGCCCAAGGCTCAAGCGATTTCAGTCGCCACGCGATCTGGCAATTTGCCAGATGTCTGCAAATTCAATACTGGTAGACCCAAAGGCATAGCATGTACAATTTTCGTAGGTTGATAGAATGCCCTATTTATCATAAAGTCAGAAAACCCTTACGATGACTTATAATCAACTAAATTGCCAAATCGCGTGAAGTATGTTCTGGGCCTAACGCACTGCTTCGAAAGAGGATCATTTGTCTAGCCGGAAGAACTACATACTGTATGGCTCAAATCTGCATATTAAGCGCCAAAACTATCATCTTCAACTTTGTTATCTATTCTATTCAGATTTGAGCAGATTTTCGGTAAGGAGGGACGTATTTTAATTTATTTTGAGACCATTTCTGAACTAACTTAATTAGCATTCACTGCGATCGTGTATTCGCGACCCATTATTCCATTCTAGAGATGAAAGCAAGAAAAGCATAGCTCCTTTTTCGTTCTCCATTGCTGTAATAGTGTCATACTCGTACCACACATTCTTAGCGAGTGTCAGTCGAACAAAAGTACAAACAAATATGCGCCTTTGCAGTATGCTAAGCTGCCAAACGTTTTATTTTCTTCGCTACACTTTCCATCCACTTTGCCATAATTTCGCGAATTCCGGCTGAATTTTCTCAGCTTTGATTTGTTTGGCACTATACGACTGCTTTGAAGCCGAAGCCATAATGGGTAGAGCTTGATGTTAGTGTTTTTTTTTTTTGGCAGAGTAGTGAAGGCACACAGCAAGAATCCATCATGGCATTATTAAAGGACGCCAATAGTCATCTCAAGATTGATGAACAAACCCCATACGTACCTATATCGCTATATATTTCCTAGCGGAATATAGCTGCAGCAAGTGCACTCTTTGAGAATAATACTGGATAGTATTTCCTGAATCCTTCTTGGAAAATGGATAAGATTTCCCATTTTTAAACACATTACATATTTTCGATAGACTTTATAGATACGTCGTTGAAATAAAAGTTTCGTGCGAGACCTCTTCTGTCCCTTTTTCGCTCGATTGCTTCAGAAATTCAGTATCAAAAGAAAGGGTTGAGCATTACACATATTTTCTGAATTCCTGCGCAGTTCCCAAAGAATGAATTTTTGTGTAAAAGTCGCTCCAGTGCTTGTGCATAATTTCGCGCTGTGTGCGAATTCGTACAAACTGTTACCAAGCTTGCGTAGAAACTGCCTTTGAGGTATAGAAGGGCATGAGCAGAATGTTGATCAACCTCGAAACTCGAATCCACTGTCCGTCAAGTTTCAAATAATTTTGCTGATAGAAAAAGGATTTATATATTCAAATTTTTTTACAGTCACTCCGAGTTGTTGACTTGGATCAATAGTTTATACAAATGCGATGAGATATCTGCACCAACTGCTCCGTAGTGGAGATCAAGTTTCGTGGTCCGGCGACAGAAACGAGTCATCGTCGGCTTTACGATGTCGATGTATGTCGTCGTTTGCTTTCTTTCGCATGTTTACTACTTTCAATTGTCCTCTCTGTTGTCGCATAGTCTTAGTGCTATGTGCAAAACCGCATTAGACGAATCTATCTTCTATACAAACCTCGTTCATGTTTATCGTCTGCATTCTCGTGTGAATCATCTATCTTTTCGGAATTTTTGTTCGACCATACATAGTTTGTTGGGAGCTCAAAAGGATTTCGCTTTTCCTTTTCGCTAAATTTCTGAGCCCGAGGCGATTTGCTTCGATTCTGAACTTTAATGCGTAGCGTCTTGGATGCTGTATTCTTCTATTGAGCAACTCATGCTGCTTTCGAAGGCTAGCAGGAACTTCGTCAGAGACCGATGTCTGAGAAATTTGCGCAAATCCTCAAAGCAGGGTGTTTCTAAGAATTATACTCAACATTTTCTAGAGCCGTCAGGTTTCCATGAGCAGATGAGCCTACCAAAACCCTCGCTTCATGATGGTATATCGTTTTAGCATAGGGTCCCGTTCCGCATAATACCAGGTTCTTCGGGAGATAATGTTGCATTGGAAGTTGGAAGTTCGCTTAACCAATCCCACTACGAATGTTGCATTACATTTTACCGCGGCGGAGTTTATATGAATTGAGTGAATAGGGTACCCATTTTATCGAGCAATGCAAGTCTTCTGTAAGATGGATTACGAACATCGACGGAAACTTCGTTCCACCCGAAGTTTGGAGTCAAAATATTCAAAAAAAAAAATCCTAGACATCGAAGAATCGTATCTCCATCGATAAATGTAGGCAATTCCAATTTGCACAGGCGTCTATTCTTTACACATCCACACGTACACTTTGTAGAATTTTTTCGTAGCTAGATTACGAGAAACAAAAATTGGTCAAAAGTGCGAATATGTCGCGTCTTTCGGTTTCGTGCGATGGATTTGATTTTTCTTAAAAAATAGCCTTTGTAAATAGCTGAATCATACTTCCAGAGGCATAGCATAGAATCGTTTATGTGAGAGAGGCTCAGGATTGCTTTGGCAAGAGCATGCCAATTTTATTTTTTGCGATTTTGCTATGGAAGAATTATGAAACTGTGCATTCGAGGGTCTGATGTACAGTGTGCGTGAGCAAATTCAGTAGTCCTAGAATTTTTGGGACGATGATACGATTCTTATCAATTTTTAGGTATTTGAAACTTTTAACTTGTTTTGAATATTTGAGCTTCATGTTGTAGAACTTGCTTTGCTTTATCGAAAAATATCCCTTTTACTTTCTATCTGCTAACCATACCGCGATATCGCGTGATAGCCGATGATGCGACATTATTTTCCGAGCATCCTAACAGCCTAACCATTGTTTTGGAAGGTAGAACTCAGAATTATAGCTTAGGAATACTTGTTTACGCGCGGATCTCAGTCTGAGAGAAGTGTTTGGTCTCAACCTTTGTGGATGAAAGAGTTTATGGCCTCCGGACATGGGTAGTCCTAAAAAACCATATTGCTAGTGTCTCATTATGTCTTAGCACATCTCGCTTTGGATGCTCTCGGAAACGTTCAAAATGGGTTTTGAAAAAAAAGATTGCGTAATAGAAAATGACAGATTTAGGTTTGGTGCTAAGCATATCATCTCTGCGAGTTTCAAAATTTCGTTTGATTTTGTATGACTTTGCGACCAGGGCACGGCACAGGTGGCTTAGGAAGCAAGCTGAATATCGTTTTTGGGGAAAAAGCAAAGGGGATATCGTTTTTGCGGAAGAGAATAACGTTGTCTTTCGATCTGCGACCGGCACGCTGCCGGCATGCCGCCAGCAAGTAAACAAAAGGTTTGTTTACAGCGAAGGGAAGATGAAATGACACCAAAATAGGTGTGTAGATGGGCAATGGGGAGTTAGAACTAAGTGTGAAAAATTATGAAAAAATTATGTGAACTAAAGGCGTGCTCAACTTTTTTCGGAGTTAGGTGGCTTTCAAGCCACCTGGATAGCCACCTGAGGTGGCTTAGGAAAGAAAAAGTCATAAATTTTTCCTCCCTCACATAATTTTTCCACTTTCTTTACATACTTTTCATCTACATCCCGAATCCTACAAACTGGTTCCTAAACCGTCTCAAACCCCCTTCTCCCCGCTTAGTTATAGCCCCTTGAAAATTTTGAATGGCTGCGGAAAGGCTGCTCTAAGCGCGTATTGCGGCACGATGGATACATCATGCCGCCATTCCGGAGAATATGAATATAATTGCGTGTGTTCGATGATTCTTTTTCGTTTTTCTTTCTGCTGTTGCTTTGTTCCGTTCCTTTTCATGTATTTTCTCTTCATACATCTCGTGACGGATGTCGTAATTTCATTGAAGTCAAAAGGGACTTCATTTTTTGCAATTTCGGGACGCCACCTCGTGCCGATTCCTGGTTTAGGGTCAAAGGGGACTTCGTAAAAATTCGCAAAAGTCAAGGGGGACTTCGTTTTTTGCATTTTCAACTAGCCACCTCGTGCCGAGCCCTGTCTGCGACTTGTATCTGAGGATTTTTGCGCTTTTAACTTTACGCGTTCCACTTTTCTCAAATTTATGGATGGGGTAGTCAAAAAAATCAGTTGATGGCTGCAAGCATTTTCTTTTTCGACTCCACGATGCTTTTTTCGTAAGTCTCATCTCCACTTGCGAATAAGAATGATTGCTTTGATTGACATAGGGTAAATGTTGCTATGACAAAAATCTCCTGGTGCTAAGCTATAATTAGATTCGAAAAAGAGGGGAAAAAGCTATGTAGTTGCGCTTTTTCTAACATCTATGTAGTAGAGTCATACAGAAAGCTTGTAAAACGTCTTAATTGATCCATGGTGGATTCGTGCAGAACGTTCTAGAAGAATAAGACTTTTCTTGACTTGAATTTGCAACGAGTTACGTTTTTTTCTTCCCCTATACATGCAAACATTGAATGCGGAGTGCCACTGGTTAGATGCTTAAGTCTTTCCTTGCCCATCTGTGAAAAAAAATTCAGTTTGTTTCTCGCACTGTGCTAAGCGTGGTGTTCGTATTTCATTACATGCTACAGAGATATGTAACACACTACATAATGAGAGAGCGCTTGTATACAACCACACATGGACATAAGATTTCTTTACTTTTCTCCGAGAAAGAATATACACTTTATGTGTGTCAGCCTGCGCTTAATCAGCTTACTGCCTTCGTCAGCAGACCGAAAAAAAAAGAGGGCGAAACAAGCAGATAGTGTTAGCTTGTATTGTTGCTATAGTTGCTTCTTGCTTCAGGTGGATCTGGATCCGACTGATATTAGGAAATGTATAAAATTTCGATTGCTTGCTTAGATCGAATAAGAGTGAGAAATTCTTAACTGCGCAAGTCCCTAAAATCACGCTTTGTTCCCGAAAGAAGATTCGGTTCTTTCCCGATTACGACTACTTGAAGCTGATTTGCCTAGCTTGTATAGAAATAAAAGATTGTGTGCATCATTCTGTGAAAATTTGAAGATCTGTTTTCGTGTTCTCAGTGTGATAAGACAGTATGAATGGATAATTACAGAAAATAAGTATCTGATAGAAAGGAAACTCTTGTGTTGCAAGCTATGCTACTTTTCGAGTCATGAAATATAAATGTCACTAGTGCTTGACATTCAGACTACTTGAAATATGACGCTAATAATGAAGCAGTTTACGGCCTATCCGGACTCAAGCCAGTCCAAATCAATGCAAAAATTTCGCACTATGTTTGGAACTTCATTTGCTTTTCCATTACTACAGCTAACTCATCTCTTTCACTATCTTGATAAAGACTAATTTCCTTGAGCGAAAACAGATTTGATTTCCATTATAATCCAAAGAGCTCCTGAATTAAGTTTTTTCCCGAAAGTTCTGTCTTTTCGTTTTTGAAAATTTGTAACTTTTTGCCATCTCTACGGACTTGCTTTTTTATTTTATTGGGAAGAAGAAGTCCTCCACTTTGTAGGCGTTTTTCGATGAGCTTTTAATATAGATATTATACATTCATTGCAGTGATAAAAATGGAAAAATAAGATCACTTGAGCTTTAATCATTTGAAAGGTTGCCAAAAATCTAGAACGTTACAGAAAATCGGAAATCGCCAGTGCATAACTTTTATGATTTTTTCTCGGCATCTGAGAAAAAATTGAGCTGTTTTAACGTCTGTATGAAGAGTTATAATTTTCGACTTATAATTTTACTATAAAAAGCGCCAAAAGTGAGTAATTTGCCACATTTCTCGAAAACAGGATTTTTTCTGAGACGTTCAAACAGCACAATTCTTTCTCAGATGCGAAGAATAGGCCACAAAACTTATGTACTAACAATTTCAGATTTTTTGCCGCTTGGCAGATTTTTGACGACCTTACTCAAAATGGTCCAAGCTTAAGTGGCCTTCTTTTTCCATTTTTATCTCTGCGAGAATGTATTGTAGTAGAAGCTCACAGAGGTAAAACTGCGAAGAGGAAGGCTTCTTCTTTTTAGGAAAAAAATAGAACAAAGTGAATCCGTAGAGACAGCAAAAAGTTACAAATATTCAAAATTGAAACGACGTAACTTTCGGGACAACCTAATACTTAAACCTATGCATTGTAGTAGAGCATTTCACTTGTGCATCCAATCGTTCTCTTTCTTGCAAAGATAGCAAAAATTTCGCTCTCATTTGTGTGTTAATCTTCAATGTCGTACAAAAATACGCAAAGAATGCAAATCACGGGAGTGCTCATATCATATAATGCCTTCGAGAGTGCCAATGCCCGTCGAGGGAGAATAAATTAGCCGTAATTTTGATTTCGACTCGCAATCATATTGACTGCAGCGGCTGTTTTGTTCTTTTTCCAATGCCCAGTGCCATTTCTCCGCCAGTACACAACCAGGTTTAGTGTCACTAAATATTTCGTCCGAAACTTTTTGCTTTTAGATAAGTGATGTATGTCGCGTATGTGAACAGAAACATATGTATTGGAGGGCAATGAATTTGAAGGAGGTCCGAACTTTTTTTTTGGAACTCTCAGATTCGCAGGATAAAAATTAGTCTACATATCAGGCAATGCAGAATTATGATTTGATCCATCCGTTTCATTGACTCGTGTTCTCCTTAAGCTTTACTTTATGCGAATTTTATCATGACTTGAGAGAATACTTGCAGAATAGTTTTGTAGCAATTTCTTCCATGCCAGGATTGGACATACATAAATTACAATCGAATTAGTAGATTGGATTGGTCTCTTTGAATTCAGCAAGCACTATGAACAAATATTAGGTTATGACCATGCAACAAACGCAAAGATTTCATTTCATCATTATACAGCGGGGATTATTTCAGTACCAAAAGGTTCAAATCGACTCCCTCCTAATAGATCAGCAAGATCTGGTTGTCTTTTGTACAGATTCTAGCTCTTGCGCTAACAAGAATATTATCGACCCTTGAGCTCTTCACAAAATTTCTCAGAATAGCGATATGAATATCTCCCCGTCCTATCATACAAACATTTTCACAACCCGTCAATATTGCTCAAATATTATATATTAGGTTGGTTCAAAATTAATGCCCGTTTTCTCAACTTCCACTTCTAATGAAGATAATTCTTTTCCGAACAATCTTTTTGAGCGCATTAAAAACTGTTGTAAACAGCAAACTTTTATCTATACAATGTGTATTTTTATGGGATTGTACTCACCACGGGATAAATTTTCCGGCTTAAGAATTACCGGGAGTTTTTTCTGGGAAGCTCTAGTTTGGAAAAGCATAACTTACTCTCAAAAGGACTACAATGGAGCAAACTTTGCTCATTGTGTAGTCGATGTTGGATTCAATAGTAGCGTAAAACTTGGATTTTACTAAAACTTTTCTGCGAAAAAAATATTGCCAAGAAAGCAAAATACCATTTTCTCCTGCATTTTAAAGAAGGCAAAAAACTTTATTTTTTTAGATTTCTCCAAATTTTTCTCATTTGAAAAACGAGGAGATTCTGCCGTTTTCCTATCGTTAGTAGTCCTTGGTCTACTCTACCAGAACCAAGTGACAGTTCTGCAATTGCTTCTCATTTTGAGCATTTTATAAAGCTCCGAGTGATCCCAGCATTCAGCTAAGTTTGAGTCAAAGCTTCTCGGCTCAGGATTTTTGAATAATTTAGCCTTGGTGAGCTTTTTATAGCACAAATCCTCGCGATCATAACACATATTTTTTGAAACAAGTTTGAGATTTCATGGATTCAGGGCAAGTCGAATGAAAGGAAAAAATTTCAAGTTAGAGTTCCTCACCTTCAAAGGCACGGAACTTCGGTCTGAACAAAGATCTCCGAAAACGAAAGTCTATTTCAGAAAATAGAAGAAGTGGGCTTCCCGGGTTTAGATGGTTTTAGAGAAACACGATTTTCGTCTGAAAAGTAGCAGAAGAGGTACAGTACCGCTCACATTTTTGAAAAAGGACGCGAATGTTGCATCATGTATGAACATCACCGTCGCGTGGCCATATCTCGCTTCAGAGTGGACGAATTCTGCATCTAAAGCCACCATTCGACTCAGCTCGGCTCGGCGCATCTTCTGATATATGGAAGTGTCCACTTGGACACAGTAGGAGGTCAGGTTCCACGAAACGTCTCAGATCTGGGTTGCCCAGTGGGTGCAATGAATAAGCACACTGAGTAACCTACCGTAAGCAATCTGAAACGATTCGTGGTCTGACCTCCTACTGTGTCCAAATGGACACTTCTATACATCAGAAGATGCGTCGCGCCGAGCTGAGTCGAATGGTAGGCAGAATTCGTCCACTCTGAAGCGAGATATGGTCATGCGACGGTGATGTTCGTACATGATGCGACATTCGCGTCCTTTTTGCAGAATGTGAGCGGTATAGGAAAGACGTGCATTAATTATGAACCAACCTATTTTCACTGACAAATTACACTGTGACGCTTTCCCTGATTTTCCTGACAGATTTGCGGCATATAGCTATGCATGAATTTTATTTTGAAAAGGTCTCAGTTACCTTCCTGAAATTATGACAACGTTAATTCTAAGTTGTAGTCAGAGTAGTAAGATCAAAGGTAATAATTCGCTCTTAGCGCAGTCCGAGTCTCTATCGCGCTTCATCTCGCCGTGTGAGGCCGACATCGGAGAGATTTAGTCTAACACATTGTTCGATGCGGAGTTGGCATCGTTTTGCAGCTAGCTAGAAATGAGTTTCTATTGATTTTCTGTTTCCAGTACCATCATTAGGCTGATTGCGAAAGAATTCGTCCCTTTGTCGCCGTCGGTGTCTTCTATTCCGGAATGCAATTCTGGCGCATTTGTGCTCGGGGGGCAGTTTGTCAGCGAGCGCATTTGTCGGGTCTCTCGCACGCAACTTCGGCTGAAAAAAAATTAAAAGTTCCCTAAATGCTCTCTGATGGGCCATTGTGCTGGGCAACATGCTGCCAACATCAAAGTCGCCCTCGCCTGCGTCTTAACCTCGGAGCTTCATCATGCGAGCTCATTCTTATTCGCGGCTGCAACTTCAGTGGCATGTCTTCAACTGGCGCTCACTCGAATTACCCCCACCCAAATCGATTCCCCTCTGCTATTATCTCATACTTATCTGAGTCCCTGTGCCCTACACAGAGTACGAGTTCGTCCCTCACCCAGCTTCTCGCTCTTCGTCAAAACTCCAATCTCAGCCCGCTTTCGAGCGTGTTTTCCATGTCCTGGCATTGCATTCGCCCAAACTGCTTCGCTTCATCGCTTTCTCCACATCTTGTCCAAAATTAGATGTTTTTTCTAGGGGAACGAGGCTTCTACTCGGCTTTCGCCCGAATTCCCTCGAGAACAATGAGCCTCGCAGGAAGCACTATGCAAGCATATCGACAGTAAGTTCTCTTCTCATGTATTCGCCCGTTCTACATCTTCTATCTGCCCTGAGCAGGTTTGTACTTAGTAAGCAACTTCTTGCATATATGTTGGAAAGCATGAATAATTCCCCCGGGGAGCTTGGCGAACGCTATGACCGCCTAGCAAGGACTTATCGTGTTTTTCGCTAGTATCCCCGAGATAAGCCTTAATCCGGCATCCCGCGTTACTTGGCAACGATCAGCTTATATAGCCAAGAGCCGGCTGTTATACCGCTCATTTATGGCATAACGATCGAATCTTCTACCTGCACCACTCCATGCTGGGTAAGTTTACGCTTCCAAACCATTTTAAGGGCTCATATTGCCGCGTAGCTCAAAAATAATTTCGGTGTATGTATGGTGTAGAACTGCTACAGACAAATTTTTGTCTATGTGGTGCCTGAAAACAGTATTTTGACGAGAATCTAAACATATATCCTGTTTGATACGAATTAAGTAATATTTTAGTGGAGAATGCAAGGAAGTAGGATACCCTAATTTTTTTCATGAGGCGCAATTGCAAAAAAATCATCCCAACTATATGAATCCAAACAGGCCGATCAAGATTTTTATCACTGTTTGCTGAGTAGGAAAACTTATTTGTATTTAATCATCAATTGCTCATCCGTGTCTCCACTACATCACGAAAACGAAACTTAAAAAGTCAAAGAAGTGAATTTTACGAAAACTAGTTATTTTGGGACAGGACTATCCTGTGTAATTAATCGAAGATATTGTGTAAATGGTCTGTGACAGTAAAAGCTTGGAACTACCTCCTCGCAGAAAATGTTAGCTAAATAACAACAAGACAAGTTTTCTCAGAATTCGCTGTCCACCAAAATCAGTTTTAGCCAGCCTTGGAAAATTCCAAGAATACACCTAAACTGACGTTGCTTATCAATAAGAATTTCTTCAAGATCAGTTTGAATTTCATATTCATGTAAGTCCACAATTTTATTTCCCTTCTCTAAAAAATGAAGCTAAAGCGGGGAACAGAGGGCACTTGCCGTGGGAGAGTTGGAAGAAGCTCAATTAAAGTAACAACCTGGTTGCTTGACTTTTGTACTTTTGGCTCAATTTTTTGGATTATTCACGCAAGCACATATTCACCCAGGAAGTAAACTTATGACATGGCACTTAGCAAACTTTGCCTTTTAGCCTAGTATACGCCGCTTTATGCGGAGCCTGTCAAGTGCATAATCGTTCGTTCGCAAACTCAAGCTCATGTTGAATGGCGAAAAGCCACGACACAGCAAAAAGAGCAAAAGCTAGCTCCTTTGAAGCATGCTAAAATCGAAAAATTGCTTTGAGGAAGTTGATAAAATTCTACGGAGTAAGAGCGAGGGGCTGAAAGTATACGCTTTGTGAGCGCTCCGAAGCGTTAATTTCGAATCTCTTTCCCATCCTCTCCCTCCTAGCTTATTGTCCATTTACGAAACTTTTGCGGGCAAGGTAGGTTGGGCAGCCTGAATTTGCACTCAAATGCTTCAAAGCAAGGACTTTCTTGGACCGGTAAAACGTACTTGAATTGAAGAATTTTTGAGAAAATTTTGAGGCCTTGCTTGAGCATTCAAGCTGCTCGTAGTTTATAGCGAGAAGAAGGTAGTAGTGTGTGGACAATTAGAGCAGGAGCGACATGCGGCCTCCGGTAATCCTGCTACGCTCCAGAGACGTTGAACCGCGTTCGCGCGCCATTCGTTTATGCAGAGACTTGCAGCTTTCGCTCCGCAGCGGGCTTCATGTGCTCTTTTACCTCAGCCAGCCGAGCCCAGCAAGCATTATTTTTGCCCGGAGTTTACTTTACATTAGGGGGGGGGGGGCAGTTGGAAATAATGGATGCTGCATGACGAAGGCACAATAACCTTAAGCGGGAACGGATTTGTTAGCTGCAGAGCATGAGGCGCAGGGTTTACAACGGTGAAAACACGCACTCGTCGCATTCGCGCCCGCTCAACTAATACTGCTTCTGCGCCTTCGTCATGCTATAGCCTTCAAAGGTACCGTCCACCCAAAGTGGGGTTTACGAGATTTGATGGCATACTAATGTAGGCCCCCATACTAGGCCATCCCCCTCCCCAAGTTTTCCCGCAAAAGATTGCTTCCGGAGAGAGAAATCCTCTCCGGAAGGGACGCATCTCCGGAGCTGGTCACTCCACCAGCTGGTCACTCCGCCCATTTTGCAGGTATGGCGGGCTGCGGCGCTGATGTACGCCGGGCGTATAACAGCGCCGCAGCCCTGGACTTGCACCTTCACCGTCCGCCAGGTCTCCAAAACGGGCATTTTTGGAGGTTTCGTGATTTTTCGACTTTATAGGAGATCAGGGCCTTCAGAAGGCCTGTAAGCGACCAGAACATGGAAGTCGAGAATTTGGGTGGACAGTGCCTCTAAAGGCAGTGTCCGGGCAAAAAGTCGATTTTGAGATTTTGTGCTTATTTGGGTCTATTCCCTATGCTGAATCCGAATATCCACATTGGAAAGCGCGAAAACGGCGAAAAAGGGTTCTAACGCAGGAGTGAAATCAAAAGTGGGCGGGGTCTTCCCCAAGGTGAATTCACGGTCCCAGCTATTGGAGCGATCTTTTCAATTCCACTAACCGCCCTGACATCTCAACGGACCAAGTGCGAATGCACGATCTGAAGTCGGAAGCGAAAAGATCGCTCCGGGAGCTGGGATCGTGAATTCACCCTGGGGAAGACCCCGCCCACTTTTGATTTCCCTCCTGCGTTAGAGCCCTTTTTCGCCGTTTTCGCGCTTTCCAGTGTGGATTTTCGGAATCAGCGTAGCGAATAGGCCCGGGTAAGCACAAAATCTCAAAATCGAGGCCTTTAAAGGCAGTGTCCGGGCAAGATGGGAGTTTTGAGATTTCTCTGCCATGTGAGACTGGCCCCCCTGAGACACAACATCGCGCAACTGCGAGCATAAAACGTTCGACCTAAAGCAAGAAAAACAATTGCAAAGTGGGGAAACTTACGCCTCGGGGCGGGGTCCTCCGAGCTGTTTGAATTCCTGCCAGACGGCAGAGTACGTATGCCGCCACAGTTAAAAACCGTGCGCTCTTTGCAACTCTGCGTCTTAGCCTGGCGGGGATCCCCAAATTTCGAAATGTGAGGACTTGGAAAATGCATGTTCTCGCCGTTTTCGCGCTTTCTGATATGGATTTTCGGATTCAGCGTTGCGGATAACCCCAGATAAGTTGATTTTTTAAAAGTCGAGTTTCTGCCCGGACACTGCCTTTAACATCACCGCGCATGCGAGTATGGATCTTTCCTACGTAGCGTACCACCGTCTCACTTACCTATTATTTACCGTCCTCATACAGAAACTGTTCAACTATAGCATGAATGAGTAGTGGTGAAAGTAGCAGTCCTTCCCATCAGCGCTCAAAGGCAATCAGCCAAAGTTTCACCTTTTAGGTTATATCATGGACCTTGGCTCGCACAATTTATTCAAGAACTTGTAAAAATACTATGGATTTACTTATTTGTGTGGACAAATCAGGAAGGGTAGGGCTAGAAATCAAGCAGATAGTCGCTGCTTAAATGGTCGGTCATATCCCGCCTTATCTGAGTGGTTACTGTTCGGTCACTCTGGGATCTGCACCTTTCCTTTCTTGTCTTGAAGGCAGCGTCCCAATTTGAGGGTAATGAGACTTTGATGATGGAGCCCCTTGACTAAGCCATCGCCCAAGTCTCTCTGCAAAAGATGAATTCCAAAGCGAGAACACCGCTTCAGAAAGTAGAAGCTCCTCCCTCAGGCGATCGTAGCTGCTTTCATGCGTTTTGTTTTTGGAAAATTTCACCAGATAAAATATTGACCCCTATATCATGAAGTAGAGGTGTTAATAAAAAGCATGCAAGGGGCAAGGAAAAAATGAATTATTTGGTAGAGTTTCACGTAGACGAAAACAGCTTATATATAAACAAAACTACATGAGAATTGTAATTTTTCAGCTTTGATGGCCTCCTTCTTTCGCAAAACAATTAAGTGATTTGAGATGTTGGAGAAACCTTGTTAGACTCCTCTATTCGATGCTTGGTAATCAAAGACTAGCAGTATCCGATAGCACCCTTTGTGCAGTGACTATCCGAGAAATTTCGTTCGGGGTTGGGAAGCGGGGAGGGGGGACGCTTCAATAATTATCGAAAATGAAGGAGCGTTATCCACGCTCTTTCATTTTCACGACTTGTAGAACTCTATCCGACTTTATAGTGCGTTTATATATACCATAAGTTTTGAAAGAAATTTACCCTCTTTATAGCGGGCCCATAACTCCGAAATTTTTGAAAGTCTGGGAGTAGCGGCTTACAAAGCTAATTTGAGTTTTTGAAATTTTCAAAAAATCGTTTTGATTATTCATGAATGAAAGAATCCTTGCACAGCTTTGTAACTCAAGTAGGTGAATTTCGAAAACCCACCTTTGGGCCCCTTAGCCTCTTTCGGCCATTACCTTCTTGGCAATATCAAGGTTTATACGTGTTTGACGTCAAAGTTATGATGGACAATCTTCAATCTATGGGCAAATGGTAAGGGTCGGCTGTTAAAGGCAGTGTCTCACCAAAATTTAGTTGCCGAGATTTCTGCATTTTGCAAACCTGTCGGACCCTGTCTAGCACTATATGGGCTTGAAATCGCACGAAGTTCCCAAAAACCCCGTTTTCTGGAGGCCCCGTGGAAGCAACGTGGACGAGTTGCACCTTTCAACTTCAGCCTCAGCCACAGTGGCAGCAACAGAGAAGAGGTGGATGCCAAGTGGAGGGACATGTTCAAACGCGTAAGGGGGGGGGGGGAGACCGAAGGAGTCGTCCGCGCGTACCAACTCGCTCTCCGCGTACCACTTTGAGCGAATTTTTTTCAGCGTGGAGGGGGTCAAATTGAGTGGTACTTGCTGCAATGGCCTATTTAGAAGTCCCTATAATAGAATATGTGAAGATCCGCGCGACTCAATTTTGGTGAGACACTGCCTTTAAGCAGAACAAAT